TCAGTAGCCGCCGTTCTTCTGCACAAGACTGACTCGTGGAGCAAGCTGGGTGTTCTGGGAATTGGCATTGGAGGGCGTGCTGCAGGACACTGTGAAGCTTCTTCTATGCTCCTGCAGAAGTTGGGAAGCTTCCCAGGTGTGCTGCAAGGTGCAGGCAGAGGACACGTGCCCGCCCCGTTGTGTGGACACGCGCAGCCTCCCCACCTCACTTCTCTGCTTTGCCCAGGCACTGCCTTGCTTCATCCCTGATCTGGGCAGTAGAAAACACCTCTGGCAACCCTACCCACTCAGCTAATGGGGAAGGACAGAGGGTGAGTGGGTCGGTGTGAGGAGTGGTGCTCCATACAGGCAGATCAAAGTCGGGGTGGGATGTCCTCCTGAACAAGAGGTGCTTCTGTTCATGTACGAGTTTGTTAGTGGAAGGGTTTCTGTGTATGGGTACAGCCTGGGATGGGAGGTGGACATGAGGGTCTTCTGATCCCGACACCTGTGACTTTGGCTCTAGAAGGGGCCACAGAGGGAACTGGCCCTTCCAACATCTGGGTCTCGGTAACTTTTCCAGGCGAATGTGAAGGAATCCCATGGCTGTCTTCGGTTCAAGGCCACTTCCACCTTAGTCTCTGTTCCTTTGGTCATATAGTCTGTAAGCTCTTGCTTTTACCCTCCTGGGTACTGGAATAAGAGTGGGTTCATCCATACCTCTATGAGCACTTACACTGGGGGTATCTCGACCCTGAAACGCTGCAGGTAGAGCGCCTTATTGTTACAGCTGGCTTTCCCGCAGTGAAGCGGCTGGGCGGTCTGGGCAGGGTCAGTCGCTGGAGCCACATGGGACCTTCCACTACAGCCGTCTGCCTTCCTCCTGTTGCGAGTGAGATGCTTTACACAGTGATGTGTGCAGTGGATGTGTCCTCTTGCGCGAAACAGGAGGTACTGGAGGAGGACAGCAGAGAGGGTGGAAGGTGCACAACAGCTTCTGCACGAGGAGTGATCCAACAGCCGGGACTCCACAGTGTGGAAAAGAGAGGTCGCAGTGAAAGATGGGGTGGTGCTGATCAGACTAGCTAGGGAAGTTAGCTCACTGCCTCTGGTGCAGGAGCTGGGGGCATCCAATGAAGTCAAGCCTAAAACAGAAGAAAGCGGGTTTTCAAGGAATGGGTATTTATACTGCTGAAACTCCTTGCTAAAGAATGATGTGGAACTGAAATTTTACGTGGTTTTAAAAGGAGACAGAACTCAATTACTCAAAGGAGAGGTTTTTTGGGTTTACTAAATAGACAAACCACAAGAGATCCCTGAGCTGAAGAAGTCAGCAGCTGCAAACACGTGTGGGGTCCGTATCATGTACTCTCACTATGTTCCTACCCTTCCTGGGTTCCCACGTGCCCAGCTGATGGTGGAGGTGGCGTGCCAGGCTGGGCAGACCCTCGGTCCAAATCCAGATGGCCGTTCTCGGGTAACGATGTTGGGTGGCTTCCTACCTCTCCCTCCTGCCCTCAGCAGAAGCTGCTTCTGGGGCAAAGCAGCCCCCACCGCCCCCAGGGAGGGGAAGCAGCCCCTCGGCAGGGGCTGGAGGACGCCCTGCTCCTGGTGGTGGCAGAACAGAGATCTGGCGCCGAGCAGCCTCTCCGTCCAGCTGCAGTCGTGAATGGATTTCCGAGCAGCAGTGGTGCGAGCTGCAGGTGACTGCCTACCTGCCGGCGCCAGGCAGTGCCCGCTGCGAGCCCTGTTTTGCGCTTGGGTGAGCCCTGCTCCCTGCCTCGGAGGAGGGACAGCCCCGTCCCCTCCCTGCAACCGAAGAGCAGTCGCCGTCTGGGGACGGTGAGCTGCACCGGACAGGAACGGCCTCACCCTGCTTAGCCCGGTGTTGGAGCCAGACTGCAGCGTGCGAGCTCCTGGGTGGTGATGGCTGCTGCAAGCTGGGGCACAGCACAGCTTAGAGAGGTCCCCTGCGGGTGCGTCGATGGGTGCCGGGCGTAGGACAGGCGTGAGCGGGGACAGCGAGAGCATCGCTGCCGGTGTTGCCATCCCTCTCCTTTGCGCCAGCGGGGCCGTCGCTTGGGCACGGGGATTTGTGGTGGCAGGAGCTCCGGCTGCACCGGGCAGAGAGGTGCCAGCGCCCTGGCATGCACTGCTGAGTGGAGATGGCACATGTGCAGCTGGGCTGCTCCAGGACCCGCGGGCTGACAATGCTGTTGCGCAGGCTGGGGCGTGCTGTGCTGATCACCAGGGCTGGCTAGTGGCCTGGACTAAAATTCAGACTTGGCACACGTTGAGAGCTGATTGACAAGCAGAGGTGCACAGGTTGTTTGTTGGTGTTTTGGGTTAAGTGTGCTAATGATAGTTAATAATTTAATGTGTTGTATGGCTGAGTGTAGTTAAATTGGCATTGTGTCGCAGTTATTTGTGTTAAGATTTACTCAGAGGCCTTCGCAGCAAGTCAAAAATCAAACTGTTACTAATGAACTCCTGAACCTTGGTTAAAAAACAAAGATCTGCTAGAATAATTAGCAGAGGAGGCAACTAGCAAAAATATGGACGGTTTCTCTATCCAGAGCATCCGAGAACAGAAAAAAAGAAGAGTATAGTCTGCCCTCTCCAGGCCTCTCTCTGCCTCTCTTTCTTAAGGCCAAGTCGGTGAGTGCATTTGGCTTGTGCTCCACTCAGAACCCCTCAAAAAACCTGCTTGCTCGTTGCCAGTTTTTTGTAGTTAAAGAACAAGGTGTATATAGTGAAACAGTGCAAGTGTGCTGCCTCATCTAATCTGGAGGGAGGGAATGCCAGTAACGGAGAAAGTACCGATGCTGCTTTAACCATCACAGTTAGCTGACAAAGGGGCTAAGCAGAGCAGGAGTTATAGGTGGAGGTGACAGCTTTTTTTAGACCAAGTAATGCAGTTGGAGGTACAGGTGTCCTGTTACCTTTTTGAAAAGGCTCAAGAAATTACCATTTTCCTCCTAACTTACTAGTTGTTTTAATAAAGATTTTACCTCTACCTAAAAAAAGAAAGGATAGGTGAAAGAGAGACCAAGAAGAAACAATTCCTCTTAAGAACCTTCATGATGGTTATAAATAACCTTGTGTTACTGCATCAGACTTGTGTTTCATTTGTCTGTAGGTTCTGAAAAAGAAGTGTTAATAAATTAGTATATGAATGGTAAACTCTAGGTACGAGCACCGTATTCTTAACTTTTCTTGACACAACGGAAAAATGCACTGTGGCCTGCAGGTGCTGGTGCGCGGTGGCTGCACAAGTGCCATGGTAAAGGCACAGTGGCGGATCATCTTTTTTTCCCTTGTGCACTCTGAGCAGCAGCGGACCAGCATGCGGATGTGCAGGCACAGAGGGCAGGGCCCCTGCAAGCCCTCCAGCCGCGAGCAGCCGGCGCAGACTCTTGCCCACGCAGCTTTGGGCTGCGCATCTCCCACCAGTTGCCCAGGTGAAGTGGGGAGAGATGAGACAAGGCACTGGCCTGGGGTAGAGAAAGGGTCGCAGCCGTTGTGTGTCCAACCTTCCCTTGGGAGTCACAAGAGCAGGAGCATAAACGGGATTGAAGGTAGTCATTGTCTGCCTTCTGGCATGGCTGAAGAGCCTGGCGTTGCCCTCTGATCCTGCCTGGGTCTGGCGGCGTCTCCTGCACTGCCCTGGTTTCAGCCTGCGGTGCTTGGCACAGCCCCGGATGAAACACCTACTCGGCAGAGACCTGCAGCCGCCGGCTCGCCCGGCCGGTTTGGGCAGTGCCAGTGCAGACGCTGAGAGCTGGGGCTCGGACCGCCAGCGCGGTGGTGGGGTCGGGGCTGCTGGGAGCAGGGGCGGGCAAGGAGGAGCCACTGGGACAGGTCTAGAGCCATCCTCCCCTTTGGCCTGGCGTCCTGCTGCGGCCTTGGGTGACGTCTGAGCAGCGGTAGCGCCCGGGGTGTCGTGTTTAATTGCTGCCCACGGTTGGGTCTCGTGGATTCGCCTCTTCCCTTTTTGAACCCATCTGAGATTTCCATTTCTGTAGTAGTCCGTGGCAGTGAATTCGGCAAGTTTATTACAGGTTCTTGAAGAAGCAGTGCTCCCACAGGTTTCCGGTCTCCAAAAATCCTTTATTATTTTTACACTATTAACATACAGCAAGTGCTGCTCTTTTGTTTTGGCCCCCTACCCTGTAGTCATCTGGCTTTGGGTGGAGGATGTACTTCCTTGTCCAAGGCAAATGAAGGACTCCGGTTTTTTTAGGAGTGGCTGCTAGCTACTTCAGATCTTCAAGGTGTTCTCCAGGCTCTTGCTCCTCCTCTGGCGAGTCTGGCTTTATTTGGGAAGTCTGTTGTTTGACCAGCTCCTGGAGATTGTTTGGATGTAAATGAAGTGTTTGTGATTTCTGTGGCAGGAGAGAGGGTGTTTCCTACGCCACTCAAAGCTGTGCCTGATTGTGACAACCTTCTTAAGCCTATTACAATATTCTGCAAATTACATAACATACACATAATTAATTGTGTTCACTTCCTATCATGAACATAGATTATAGCGTGCCTTCAGCTCTTTATCTGCACTGCCTACAACACACTGGTGTTGTAGCCTGACTGCAGTGCTCAGGGCACTGCTTTCTCTGGTATGTGCCCTCGGTTCTGGGGTCCTTTACAGCATGTGCCTCCCAAAAAGAGTTCTAGTTTCTGGTGCTTCCCTTGTCCCACGTTCCTCAAGGAAGGGGATGCTGTAGGGTTTTTTGTGCTCCCGCAGGGCAGGAGGGAGGGTCCCCAGCTCACAGTGTGTGGGCTTTGCACTGCCTGGCTGCCCTCGGCTCGGCTGCTCCTTCCTGTCCGCAGCTCCGGCTGCAGAGCCTCCTGGGCATGGGCAGTGTCACGACCTCATGCAGCTTTGTGTCTCTGGATGGGGCGGAAAGGAGGGAAGAGCCATAAATCTCCTGCCTGGAGGGAGAAGGGAGAGTGTAGCAGGATCCTTGTTGGGATCTTGAGGGAGACCACGGTGACCTGATGATTTCTTCTCTGTTCTGCAGATTCGTTTGTGAACAGCCAGGAATGGACCCTGAGTCGCTCGGTGCCTGAGCTGAAGGTGGTGAGTACTTGCGACTTGTGCCTCGGATACCCCTGGTTCTCTGATGCTTCTCCAAATCCCCAAGAAAAAACCATGTTTAATGTGGCCAAGTGGAAATGCGTAGAGGCTTCAGCCTCGTGGAGGGGAGAGAGGAGCTGCGGTTGCTGCTGTGCTGTGGGAAGGCAAGAACTTCTTGGTGGCTCACACTTGTAAGGGAGAGAGTGTTGGTCTGGGAGAGCACTTGGCTCTGAAGGTCAAAAGGTGATATTTGAGCATCTCAGCCTTCCTGCTGGCCATAGCAGAGCTCCAGTTCCCGACCGGGTACTGCTGCACAGGCTAGACCTTCTGACATAGCAGAAGCAGGGGTAGATCCTGATCCGTGCATCCATGGTCATCACCCTCAGAGCAGCTGTCCAAGCGTGGAAGTTACCCACGTGGGAGCTGTCACCTCCCCGTTTGAGCCTTGCTGACTTCAGCTCTGCGCTGGTGTTTTCCTGGCCTCTACTGGCCACCTCCCAGGCACGACTGCCCTGTGGTGTCCCTGCCATGAAGGGATGCTGGTGGGATGAAACCGTCACCTCTGGTGCTTTGTTCTGCCAGACAGAGGGGATGAAGCTCCTCTGGTTTGTCACCACGGGGCGGGTTCCCCAGGGCATGCCGTTAACGAGGCTTCATCACCTACTTGTGGGATATGGTGTCTGGTCGGGGGGCTGCCTCTGCCCCTCTCTCGCCCCTGACACAGCCCATTCATGTGGGACAAGGTCACAAGGGAGGGGGCCCAATCTCGGCATGTGGCACCTCTGAGATGGGAGATGTTTCCCATGGCCATCAGCCATCGCTGATGGCTGTGCACCAGCTTGCTGGGGCCATCTGTGAGCCGGCACAGGTCAGTGGTTCCGGAGGACACAGAGGGTGTTCTGCTCGAGCCGAGCTGGCTGGCGAGCACGAGGGGCAGAAGCTGTGGCTGTGGCGAGGGAGGAAGCGTGGCCTTACTGGTGGCAGTGAGCTCGTGGGCTGGTTCGGGCGTTCACAGAAAGGCACACTCGGCAACTGTGCTGCGAGCACTGGAGCAGCTCTGGAAGGGACGTTGGGGTGGGCAGGGTGCCACAGGCATTTCTGAGTGTCTGTCTGGCAGTTCTCAGGGACCTCAGCAATCCATTCCACACTCCGCTCTTCTCATGCTCTCCGTGGCAGCCCTTAACTCCCTTTGAAGATTGTTGGCATGTCTCTCTTCAGCCCTTTCAAGATTAATTTTTTTCCATCTTAATCCAAGAAACAAGAAGCCTTTTTGCAAAACATACCAGCACCATGCTGCCACAATTTTTCTTATCTGCAGCTAAGTAAAAATTAAAACAAACTTTGAATATTCATTTGTTAGTTTGGCTTGCAAAATGTGTGTCTGTTCACAAATATTCTTGTAGCTATTCTGTGTATTGCCTTCTGACATCTTAACATTGTGCAGGCTACAAAAGAGTGCTGCAAGCTAAACAAACCTAGAGCTTTTAGTTCTTCAGTTAGCACAATCCTTTTCCCATGTTTTCCATCACCTCTGGGGTTTCATTCGACCGATGCAGCTCTTCCTAAAAGCCTGGAGGCCTTTCAGAGTCCTCGTTCAGTCCTGGCCTTGCTGGGCTGAAGCCGTTTCCATCGTGTCTCTGGGGCTAGGCTGCAGCAGCCAACTTTGGCGGGGGACCCTGTGCTTGAGTGGGCAGACCTCTGGGCGGTGGGCTGGTCATCCGGGATTTCTTCTTTCTGCGGCTGCGAAGGGAAGGACTTTGTGTAGCGGCAGAGCTGCGCCTGCCTGGGTCTGGGATGGTGGTCAGCCAGCGGGGATGAGGAAAGCCAGGCAGGTCCTGAGCTTTCGGGTGAGTGTCTAAGGGGTCCGTTCTGCACCGTGCTGCTCCGGCTCTGGCTGCACCATGGGTGCACCAGTGCTACAGTGCCTGTCTTCCTCAGCTCCCGTCTCACCCACCCCAGCAGTGTGGCCATCCCTGTCCGTCGCAGGGCCCAGCATTTCTCCCCAGATCTCTGCAGACAGGTAGGTCTTTGAGCAAGCGTCCTGAGTTATCACCAGGTTACGGTGGTATGGAAGGGGTCCCCACACACCACCCATCCCAGAATCAGTATGGGAATCACTAAATAAATGGCTAAGACTTGGCAAGAAATGTTCCCAGGCTTTGCTCCCTTCCAGTTTTCAAGCAACTCTCCCCTCAGCTCCTGCCTCAGCCTCCCCAACCCCATCCTCAGAGGCACGCTGGATGCAGGGAGGTGCTCTGGGTGGAGCAAGGTCTTGCCTGCACAGCTGGCACGAGGCTCGGCAGCAGTCTCAGCAGTGCTGCCGAAGTGGCTCCCGCAGCAAAGCCACCCAGTCCTTGGTCCTGCCTGAGTGATGCTTCACCGAGTGCACCACATGGCCCCGTGAAAAATGGGTCTGAAACCAAAAGACATCCTAGTGCAGGGCAAACACAGGGTCTTTTGATAAATGGCAGAACACACTGTTTATGATGGGAGAGGCTTGCACGAAGCACCCACTCTGTCTCTGATCTGCCAGTCCCTGTCCCCAGGGGAGACCTACACTGAGCCTGTGAACCAAGATTCATAATTCTGTGAGTATGGAAAACCACGGACCCGTTGGGGTCTTCTGTTTCGTGGCACAAAGTGTTGAACGCAGCCCACATCCCTCCTTCTGTGGGAATGAACTGTTTCCCTTACCTCTCCTGCAGCAGGTAAGGATTGTACCGCTTTCTTCCCTGCTTACGTTCCCATTTGCACCACAAGTGGTCAGTGGACTTTCTCTAAGTTTTTTTTTAATAGCTTGATGTATTTAAGTTATGCTCAGCAGTTTTTCCCACCTCGATTTTATCCTGAAGCTTCCTCCATCTCTGCTGCAGGCTGAGAGGAGTCTGTGTCTGAGAGAAGGCAGCAGTTCCTGCAAACCTTGCCTTCCCTGTGGGAAGGGCACAAATAATGCCTGTTGACAGGGACTCGTCCCCCAGACCCAGTACTGGGCAGTATCAGCCCCTCACTGGCCAGCACAGAGGCAGGCTGCATTCCCTTGTTCTCCCAACATGTCTTGATACAGAGGTTTCCGTGGTGCCTACACGCCACATTTTACTTTGGTTTGCTGCCTCTAAGGGGTTATGTTCCTGAAGGATGTCAGCTCTGTTTGAGCTTGTTTATGACACCAGATAAGGATAAGACAAAGCAGAAGCGTATTTCAGCAAGATACAGGTCAGGATTTTGATTATAAGCAAACAGTGTAAATGCAGCCTTCATCCAAGTTTGAGAGAGCAAAAATGTTGCTGGGAGTGTTTAATCTCTGATGTTGCATGGAGTCCCAGCTGCCAGGCGGCCTCGGGGAGCTGCTTTGTTTTGTAAAGGTTTCCCCAGGGACCGGAGCTGTGGCTAGCCTCTGCACAGAGCTGAGCCCCAAGCTTCCCGCTCTGTGCCGTGGTCCCTACTCTCTACATCCCAGACTGCTCACGCTGCCATCGGAGTGTGGCAGCGGCAGGGTGGGCTCGGCCGGAGGAAGGGGTGTTGCCTTCGTCAATAACTTGGGCTACAGCGTTCGTGTAGCCCTTACATCTCCGCCCATCCCTTGGCTCCAGAAGCACGTGTGTGTTACCTGTGAGGATTGCAGTCTTGTACGTGTTCTCATCTGTCTAAACGTGCTGCTTATGATCTGTAATTACGGTTGCGGGTGACAGACCTAGCAGCGATGCATTCAGCCCGGGCATGCCCATGGGAGTGCGTCAATCCGCACTTCCTAGTCCCAGGCTCCTGGTGCTCCGGTCCCGCTGCTCACTGGCTCCGTGCAGCGTGGGCACGAGAGGCGCCAGCAGACCGGACGGGTTTCCTGCGCTCCTGTAGCGTGGTCTGCCACTGGCTGAGCACCCGCCACAGCGGGGCTGGTGTGTCTTCGCCTCTCGCCAGGAGCCTGTGGGTAGCCTGGGGCAGGACCCAGTGCAGCAGGAGCTTCTGAGCATCTGGGTGAAAGCTGGAGAACCTGCTTGGTGGTGACTCACTCACCAAGCTCATCCCTTTGCCTGGAAATGGTTGGCCATAAATTTCTGTTTGGTGGCAGAGGCAGCTTTAATGTTCCCAGCCACTCCTCTCTCCTCACCCCCCCCGCTTCTTTCGGTGCTGGTGGGGCTGTGTGCGCGGCTGTACCGCAGACCTGCTGCGGCAACCAAGCAGCTTTCAAAATAGCACTGCCAAAGATTGCCGGGCCGGACCACTGGTTCTTGATTCCTTTTGCTCCACAGTCGTGCAGACCGTGTTGGTGGCACAGCCAGGGGTGTAAAGCAAGGTGGGTGCAGGGGCAGGCGTGGGGTGCGACAGGACGGTCCCTGCAGGCAGCGTGGAGTGGAGCGCTCTGCTACTGCAGTTAGTCCGCTTCTGGCAGCGCGGTCTGTCCACCCTGTGCCGCAGCCTGCCGCCTGGCTGTCACCACAGGTTGTGTCTGCAAGACCTGCCGATGGTCCCCCAGTACGGAGATGGGGAGTGGGTCTTGGCAAGCGGCGAAGAGCCAGTGGCTGGAGCTGAAGTCGTCATGGCCCAGGCTTGGACATTATGAGGAAGCGTTACCCAAGCATGTTGTTGGGCTCTGGAGGCCCTGCCCCGACAGCGCGGCTCGGTCCTGTCCCCTGGTGCGGGCGGACTGCGCTGGGGACGCCTTCCCTAGCCCTGGGAGCGCAGGAGTGGGCACAGCCAAAAGCAGCGGGCCAGGTGGGGAGAGCAGCCCCCAGCCCCAGCGGATGGGACTCGGGTCTCTCGGGGCGACGTGTCCCTTGCCAGGCTGGGTCTGGGCTGAGCGCGCAGCAGGTTTCGTTCCTGGTGCTCGGAGGGGCCAGGCTGAGGCTGGCTGTGGACGGGGTGAGGGTACGGCACGCGGCACCTGCTTGGGAAGGAGCTGGTCCTTGCTCAGCTGCGCGGGCTCTTCCCTGAGTTGGCCGGCAGTGCCACGTCCACGATTCCGGGAGTTGGACTAGCTGGAGGGTTCTCCCGTGACAGCAGACAAATGGAGAGCTCTGACACCGCCGTGCCTTGTGCCAGTTTCTGATACCCAGGCGATGCTTAGCGACAAGTGACTAGACTTGGGATTTTGATTTTGTCTCTTGTATAGGTAAGTGTATGTGCTATTTTTGTGAATGCTATTACCTTTTCAGTGCTGTGCGCCTTCTTGGAATTTTCATCATAAAGATACTGTACTCTGCTTGGGACTTCCTGTGCAGAAAGGCACCCACCATGTCTGGTCAGCACCTCTGTGGAGACTCTGATATTTCCAGCAAATGCGGGCACTCCACACATGCTGTGAATCTTGTGGTCTGGTCTTGTGGTGTGCTCAGGAAGGGTGCATGGTCAGCGGTGTGCTGCCAGACACTTCGGTGTCACTGCGCATTTACTGTGAAGCAGCTGTGGACACGCAGGGGATATTGGATTTTCCAGAAACACAGCAGCCCCATTGGGAGGTCTGCACGGGGGTGTCTCTGGTGGCTTCTGTCTGGTAGATGTACCAGACCTCTTAAATCCCAGTGAAACAGCAAGTCCCCACAATCCATGCTAACTAATATTGGGGACAGAGAAGGACGATGCGTACAAAGGCCGATATGCTGGGCAACAACAACAACAAGTCTGTTGCAGTCATGCATTCAGTGGGGCAGAGTGAACCTTCAGTAGTGGAGAAACCCTCAGGCTCTGGATCGTGTGGGGCAGTACGGGCAGGTACTCCGAATGGCCATGTTGGTGTGTTGGACACCCACCCCCAGGATGTCTTCATGGGAGCACTGGGAGTGTGGTTTAGGCACAGGAGGAGGTGTAGGGTGCTCTAAAACAGGAGTCGGTTGCATACCAGAAGCTTCATGGTAAGGTCAGACTATCCAAAGCCAAAGGTAGGTTAGATGCTTTTTGGGAAGCCATGTGGAAAAGGAGCGGGAGCTCGCTTTGCCCAGATACAGTGAGCTGTGGCCCCAGCTCGGCCAGGACGGCTTCCTGGGCTCTGCATGGTGATCAGCTGGTAGGAGCTTGCCTGCCTTCTTCACTAGCCAGGGTTTTGAGGTGCACAGGCCTGTGTAAAAAGTGAGTTAGGAACGGCTCTTCTGGCTCCTGGCTGAGAGCACCTCTCCACAGGCCTGGGGCATCGGTAGGAGGTAGAAGAGCACTCTGTGGGCGAAGGGCACCGCCGCATCACCCTGGTGTTTCTATTCCAGCTCCATCAGAGGGATGCTGCAACTGAGGCTAGAGGAGCACGAGGTGGGCTGCTCAGTAACGCAAGAGCCTGCTCCAGAAGCTGCATTGCCCCTGTGGATGTGGGAAATAGCTGTGGGATATAAGCTGACCAGTCAGAACTAGAGTTTTTGCAAGGATGGCAAAAGATGCCCCTCTACCCCAGTACTGCTTTCCCATCAGCAGGCAAGGCCACTTGCAAGCCCTTAGGCACCAAAGGTGTTTTAAACCATGGGGAAAATGCTGATGTTAGGGCTGACCCATCCTGGGATAGGTACGTTCATTTTGTAGCAAATTTGTAGGGTGATCCAGACTGACAGACCCCTAGCCTCACGAGTTTCAACCCAGTTAAAAATTAGTGCTAGGTATCTTTATTTTCCAACTTGGTTAAAATGGGTGCTAGGTGTCTTTCTGTGTAGGCAGCACAGCCAGCTCCACTGGGAAGCATGCACTCTGCTACAGCAGCGTCACTGCTGCAGTGAGGAGCAAGCGCTGTGCCTTGCTGCTGTATCAGAAGCAGGAGCTGTACCAAATGCGTGGCCAGTCTCCACTCTGGTTCTCCATGTGGCAGGTGCTGCCAAGAGCTGCAACACCCCAAAATTTGGGATGTGTGGGCTGGGAGAAAAGGTTTTTTTTTCTTCTGAGTTGGCTGTGGCTTGGGATGGCAAGTGTCCCCCTGAGGAGCAGGAGGACTGTGGGAAGAGCTAACGTGGTGCTGATGGGGCTGTGCCTGTTTGGGGGAGGACAAGGGTCCTCACCACCCTCCATCTGGGTGGCTGCACCCCGGTACCTGCTGCTCTCTGCCTGACTGAGACCAGTTAATGCCTCCAGGCTTCTCACCTAGTACCAGCTGGGTTGTGCCATCCCCTGTGCCCTCTCATGACCGTCTCTGCCCATCACCAGCATGCGCCTGGTTAGTGGTGGTCTTGCCTCGCAGGGGTGGCCTCGTGTCGAGGGAGGCGTGCTGGGCACGTAGGCAGTGGGTGACGCGTGCCTCTGTTTTAGGGCATCGTGGGGAACCTGTCCAGCGGCAAGTCGGCCCTCGTGCACCGCTACCTGACTGGCACCTACGTGCAGGAGGAGTCTCCAGAGGGTAAGGTCTGGTTCCCAGGGTGCCTGGGGGGTGGTCTGGGTCCTCGCTCCTCTCCCTGGCTCTAAAGGTGACCCCCCTCAACCTTCACTAGGGGTTTCCCCTACTTGCTCCCCCCCACACTTGACCCACTGCTTTGCTCATTTCCCCAGGTGGCCGATTTAAGAAGGAGATTGTAGTGGATGGTCAGAGTTACTTGCTGCTGATTCGAGATGAAGGGGGTCCCCCCGAACTCCAGGTAGGAGACACATACCTCCTGCGGCCCCTTCCCACCCTGTCCTGCTGGAGGGATTGGAGGGCTCCTGGCAAGGGACCTGCCTGGCTGCCTTTTGGGAGCCCGGTTGTGGGAGAACATGAGGACTGTGAGGCCTGAGGAGGGGCTGCCCCTATGGTGATTGTTGACCCCAGGGCCTTTCTGCAGTGCCAGGAAGCTTGTGCCACAGGGCCTGGGGCATGTGCCCGGCTGAGCCTGGCCTCAGCACCCCACGTACCTGCCGTGTGGCTGCCCTTGCTGGTGGCTCCAGGCACAGGGCTCCAGGATGCTTGTCTGGGCTGTAATGGCTGGTGTGTCTCCCTCAGTTTGCTGCCTGGGTCGATGCTGTGGTGTTTGTCTTCAGCCTGGAGGACGAGATCAGCTTCCAGACAGTCTACAACTACTACCTGCGGCTCTGCAGCTACCGGAACACAGCGGAGGTGCCGATGGTGCTGGTGGGCACACAGGGTGAGAGCAGGGCGGCCGGGCTTCCTCCCCGCATCCTCCCTGCCTCGGTCAGGAGCACTGGTGACGTGTCCACGCTAGCAAGAGAGCGCGGGGCGCTGGCCCTGTGACTGTGTCGGGGGATCCCAGTTTGCAAGCTGTACGTGGGACTGGGTGCTGCTGAGGGCACTAGTCTAGGGCCCTGGAGGAACTGAGTAATTCCTTCTCATACCATCTCAACTTTCCTGCAGAGAGCTGCCTTACTTCATGGAGCCACTTTTCTCTTCGAAATGCCCAAACCTGCTGGCATGGCCTGCCTTCCTCGGTTCTGCCTGTAGCAGCTGGGTGCAGGCAGGGGCCTGGGTATGGGAGGGTTTTCTGCTGGTGCATTGTCCTTCCTCCTCTGGGGCTGAGCTGCAGCAGGCAAGGTTTTGGGGGGATGGCAACTGGCTCTCAGCACCCCGAGAAGAGGCCTGAGCTGTGGAGCACCGTCTCCCCTGAGGTGCTGCCAGCACACGTGGATGTGGGGAAGAGCAGCAGCAACTCAGAACTGCCCTCCCCCTCCTCTCCCCTGGAGCCAGCTGGGGCCTGGAGCCAGCTGGGACTGGGATGGAGGCCGTAAGGGAATTGTGATGAAACTGCAGCTGAGGCTGCCAGGGGGGGTGAGCAGCAGAGGAGACAGGAGACACAGTGCCTGGAGGCCCTGCTGGGCACCCCAGGCGTGCCTGGGCAAGGAGCTGCCAATGGAGAGGGGCTGCCCGGAGAGAGGGCAGTCCTTGAGCGGGATTCCTGCCTGGCACAGCATGCGTCAGAGGCAGCCTGGCCTCCAGAAGCTTTGCTACGGGTTCCCAGGAGGCAAGGAGGGGCAGCAACGAGGGCATTGCTTCAGGTGTTTGAGCTCCGCTCTTCTGACAAGAGTGTCCTTCCTGCCTGTAGATGGTAAAGCGCAGGCAGGAGGGAGCCTGGGGCTGCAAAAGTTGTCTGGATGTAAGGGTGACAGCAGAGAGCGGGAGCAGGGGATGGAGGATGCGGGGAAAAAATGTCTTGGTAGGACCCAGTTCCCGAGCAGAGCGACCTGTTCCTGGCGAAGAAGAGACTCTGAGGCTGGGAAGACAGGCGGTGACAGCGGGAGGGGAGTTGCAGGGGTGTCTGGTCTGGACCCCAGATTGTAAAACAAAGTTGTTAAACTTTGGATTTTTAAAGACTGTGGAATTAATTTTAGGACTGAGTGATCTTGGTTCAGGACTGAGCTGGGGTTGCAGGCAAGTGCTGTGGAGGCTCAGGAGTGGGGAAGTGAGTGATATGGCAGAGGGGTCAGTGATCGTCGTTGTCCCATACTTAGAGCCAGGTGAGGTCACAGCCTTGGTATGGTCACACTAAGCAACCCACTGGAGAGTTCGAGGAGAACTTCTTTACAGTGCAAGTTCCAGTACTCCTTCAACTCCTGAGAGGGTTCATTTACAGCCCCTGCCTGTCCCTGGCATGTCTTCAAGGAATCAGATTCCTCTTGGGAAAGTAGTTTTTCCAAAACATGGAAGCACTTAGCAGCCATCTGGGATACAAATTAAGCCTATTTTTTAGTGTTGTCCATCAAGGCCTCAACTGTGAGTACACCTTAGCAGAGCCATCTTTCCAAGTTAAACTGAGGATGATTTCTCCCTTTTGATTCTTTAATATGTAGGGTATGGCTGTGAGACCTAAAATGGTTGAGACTGGCAAATCTATTTTACTCTGCAACTGAGGCTGCCTTGCCTTGCCAGCCACACCTCCTACTGGTTTCTGCCCTCTCTCTTCAGAAACATCAGTGACTGGATGGTTAGGAGAGTTGAATAAAATTAATTTTAAAAGGTTCATTTAACAAATCCATTTTTCTACAAACGTGGGACTTTGTTATCCAAGGCATTTATAGGAGAGGGGGTGTACTATGAAGGTGGGGATCTCAGTGTGTGAAGGGAGGGAGTGAGGGAGGCCAGGAGTGGGCCCTGGGACCTGTGGATAGATGAGACACGGGTGCTTGCTTTTTAACCTCCTCTCCCTTTGGTTTCCAGATGCCATCAGTGCCACGAACCCCCGGGTCATTGATGATTCTCGGGCACGGAAACTTTCCAATGATTTGAAGCGCTGCACGTACTACGAGACCTGTGCCACCTATGGACTGAACGTGGAGAGAGTCTTCCAGGATGGTAACTGTAGCCGGTGGAGCGTGTCCGGGCAAGCCAGGGCAGCAGTGCTGTCCCACAGAGGGGGCTTACACTAGACCACTGGCTCTCAGAACGGCGTGCTGTCGTGTCATGAGGCCAAAGGAGTTAGGCACACATTCATCTGCAGTGCCGTTGCTTTACACACGTAGACCTGGTCCAAGGAGTAGGATATGCTGTGTGTGTGGAAGGATTCCTGTGTGTATGGCATGTAGGTGAACTGCAGGTGGATGTGCATGAGGGACTGCAGGGCTGGGCCGGGCAGTACCTTTCTCCTGCCTTTCTTGCAGGGGCTGCCCTCTGGGTAGCCACTTGTTCCAGAGAGCAGAGAGGCTGCAGGGGACAGTTGCTTCCCCATAGTGGGCTTGTGCAGCACAGCAGTCTCTATGAGCCCGCAGAGGACTTGTGAGGCTGCAGAGAGGTTTTTGATTGCCTTTCATGGAGGAGAGGATGAAGCACAGCAGAATCTTTGAGTGTTGGAGGTAGGGGAGCAGCAGCTGAACAGCCAGATGAGGCAGCTGTTTCTCATGGGAACAGTGTGTGGGAGAGCATTTCTGCTTAGACTTGGAGAGGGTCTGTGTGACAGGGATGCTGTAGGTGGAAGAGGAAACCTAAGCCATGTCCTAGGAGTTTGCAGTCTGCTTAAATAAACCGGGACCCTGCCCTGTAATGGGACTCCATATTCCCCTGTTCCCTTTCTCTACCTTGTCTTCTGGAGTGCAGCTGGAGATCTGTATTCAATGCATGAGGAAGGGTCTGTGCGGAGCTGAGCGTCGGGACAGGACAGAGCTGCTTTTGGAAAGGAGGAGAGTTGTGCTGTTAGTGTTTGCAAGTGGAACAGGTGCATGGAAGAAAGCTTGGAAATCATAGTGTAGCGGGACTACCTGAAGGCAAAAATCCAGCTTGGTTCATTGCAGGACAGCAAGATAGGCTGAGGGCAAGACACAGGTCTGAGCCTGCCATCGTCTTCAAGTGCCTCCATCCTCTGAGCTGGAGCTGGTGGTCCTGCTTCCCCTGCATAAGTCTGTGACCTTCCAGTAATCTCCTGGTTTGGCACAGAGGATCATAGTCACAGTGCTGCTTTTCTTAACACAGAAGCATGTAGAGATGTTCCCCTCCCGTGCTGCTGGTCCACCTCTGAGACAGTCTGAGAAGTCAGCCCAGAGAGTGACCTTGCAAACTGTCCCACCTGGCCCCTGGCAGGGAACCCCTTGGCACCCAGCAGCCTCTGCATTGGTTTAGTATTCCTAGGGAAACTGGGGCGATTCTGTTGGGCAGGTTGCTTGTGAGTCTCCCCTTCTTCCTCCTCCTTGTGAGGAATGGTGGGAAGGAACAGCTAGGAGTAGTTGAGGATAGTGAATACCACGGCAGACCTGGAAGGAGAGAATCTGCTGAATCAACTCAGTGGTTTGCAGAGCAAGTCTGGAGAGAGCAACAGCAGAGGGGCTGTGTCCACAGCTGGTCCTGGCTTCTGGAAAGCTTTGGCACTGTGTGTCACCAAATTTGTTCAGCTTATTCCTTCAGATTGGTTCTGTTGTGTCCCTTCTCTGAAAGGCAGCACAGTACAGTGAGGAGTAGCAGCCGGTGGGTTTGGGAAGGGGCTGGGGAAGGCACTGCAGGATTAGGTGCTGCTGGTTGTTAGACTGCTTCTCATGCTTTTTTATCTCAAGATGGAACGAATTGTGCTCTGGGGTTATTTTTTCTCTTTGTTGACTCAGAGCATAGACAACACAACTTTAAGCAGTGCGATGTGTGACATGAAAGCTCTCACGTGAGACCAGGACTCAGCTTCTAGCACCAGCGCTGCTTAGCAAGCTTGGTGGGAGACCTTGAGCTGCTGCTTGAAGGCTCAGGAGTGAGCGCCTGCAAAGTGCTGCACTTCATCTTTTGTCTGGGTCTATTCACAGCCAGTTTGTGCGGTCAGGAAGGAGGCGAGGGAGTGGGTTTGTCCACACTAGGAGCAGTGAGGCTGAGGAAGCCCAGAAAACCCCAAGAAGTATGGTAATTGGAGACTATTCAAACAAAACTGATGTCAGTCTGGGCAAATGGTGATGCTGTATGGAACAAGGAGCATGGGCCGCCCTGCCTGGAGGGCTGATGCTGTCCCTGGGCGAGTAAGCAGGGGAGCACTGAGTGGAAGTCTGGACGGATTCTTGCCTTTGTACAGGGCAGCAGCAGGGCCTGGAGTGTTGTCAAACTCGGGTGTCAGCACTTCAAAAGGACACAGAAACTGAGAAGATTAAAAAAAAAAACCTACAAAAATTAATCAAAGGCTGGAAAAAATACCTGATAGTGAGACACTAAAAGAGCTTATCCATTAAATAAATCAAAAAGAAGATTGAGAGGTGACTTGATTACAATATAAGAGTATCTACATACCTATCTACACAGGGAAAAAATCACAGATACTAAGACTCTGCAGGCTAGCAGAGAGTTAATGCTAGAAGCCAAAGCCAGTCAAATTAAAATTTTAAAGAATCCTTACTTTTTCTATTAATAGCCCTCTTTTTCATTAGTTGTTGAAAAAAATGCATAGGAAAGTGTGGTATTCTGCATCTCTTGTACTTTCTCCAAATCCAGAGCAAGTCCCTTCATGGAAGAGACTCGCCGCATACCCAGATGACTGGTGCCGTATAGGCTGGGTGAGGTTTAATGGCTGGCAGTATACAAAGGTCAGCCTGGAAAACTGAGAGATCCTTCTGGCCTTTGAGTCTGTGTGTGCAGGATCTGTCCTGCTGTTCCTGTGCCATGCTGTATTTCCTGCAGTAGGCTGCCTCTGCATGCAGCGCCGCACACCTGCCAGTGCAGTTTTGCCAGTGTTGGTGCCCTTGCCAAGTGTGCTGCTCGGAGCTCTGGAGAAGGCAGTGTGAGAATTGGGAGTTGCAAATGGAGCAGAGGGACCCACCATCTTACAGGAGATCTGGAGTAAATCCCAGGTACTCAGTGCTCTCACCTGCCTGCTCTACTGCAGGACCACACAGACGCTCCTGAGCACAGCTGTGGGAGGGAAAGAACGGGGCAGGAGGTGCTGGCAAGGAGCTGAGGAGAGCTGAGCCCAACACATTGGCCCCAGATGTCACTGGCATCTGAGAACTGTTCAGGGACTTCCAGGATCCAGTTTCAGGTGACTTGACAGGATGAGGTGTGATGAGTGGGTAAGTGGCTTTTCCTAATGAGCACTGGTGGGTTCTGATGCATCAGTTTGGGGATCTGGTTGAGCGCTGGCAGTCGTGGATTGTGTGAGGAGCTTGCCCTGTGTGGCGATCCAGTTACCAGCGAGACCTCATCTTTATATGGTTTCTCCAACACAAGTTGATCAGCCCAGATTGTAGTAGACCTGCCCCATGCAGGCAGGGGAAGATGTTGGTTTTCCGTAGCAGAAATGGGAAGACTTCACTAGCTGTTGTCCTTGCCTTTGTTGCACACGTCTGTTTGCTTGTCCATGCTGTGCAGAATGTATGCTGCACCTCTGTTCCCAGAGAGTCCTATGCCACTGTCTTGTCTAAAAACAAGCAATCACTGACAGCAAGTTAATGTCGTGTTGGTCTAGCATGACAGCTTAAGGGAGCAACCATCCTACCTCTTGGTATTCAATTGAAGGCTGAGGCTAGCACTCTTCCTTCCCAGGCTGCTGTCTCTGCAAATGCCCCATGGTCTGCATGTGGTGCTGTTGAGTGTGGGGGAAGCTCTGAGGAGGAGAACCTCAGATCTTCACATTCACCGACTGTTCAGAGGTTCTCCAAGAATTGGGTGGTTCCAGCTATTGTGGTGCCCTCCTTCCTGCTCAGGCAGGTGCAGCAGACCCTTCCTCCACACCTAGAGCAGTTCCTGCTTGTTTGGTCTGAAGCGAAGTTTGTGGTTGTGTTGTGCAGGAATCTAGACCACATACATTACAGTGTGTGCCACTGTAATTGTGTTGAATCTCTTGGAGCAGTTAAGGCTTTGTCTGGGCAGTCAGGCTTCTGAAAGCCACTGTGAAAAGGATGCATGGCATACAGGAAAGGGGTAACTTTCTCCTTGCTCGGTTCTCACGCGTGACCTCGCAGAAGTCCCCCTGGAAACACTGTTCAGTGTGTGGGAACTGCACTTCTCATCCTTTCCAAGTTGCTTCCAGCACCAGATGTCACAGTTACTGCTTCCATGAAAAGATGGGACAGTCTGCCTGTGGCTTCAGATACTGCAAGGGGATGACTGTGGCACAAGCAGGAGGAGTGGCACAGGTTGGGCTGTGTGCTGCAGTGTCCAGTGCCCCACAGACAACAACTGCAGTCTCAGAACTTACCAAGGGTGAGCCCGCCCTGAGGGGTGGCTCGGTGTGGTCCCCTCACTCGCAGCAGAGCTCCCAGTGCGGTGGGAGGCTGGTACTGAATGTGCCTTCTGACTTCTTGGCTCTGAAGAGGTACGGTTAAAGGGCTTTCTTCTCAACATTACCTTCAGAGAGCTCCTGTGTGCAGAAATCTCCTAGAGTTTAGAGGATGCCAGGACAATAGCAAGAAGCCATTGGTGTGGGGATGCCTCAGCTCTTGGGCTTCATTTTAAGAATATTTCTATACCAGGCAAAAGTTAGAGAGCAAATTGTTGAGAGCCACTTGGCAGTGATTATCTCAGCATTGTTCCTGAAGAGGAAGAATGACCCAGGCCTCATCCTGCAAGGGCACAGGAGGGACGGCAGCCATGCTGCCCAGTGCTGTGGGTGGCTTCTCTGGCTTCACGTCTGCAGCAAGTCCAGGGTGAGCGCTCCTCTCCTCCCACTGGCACGGAGCATTGGAGAGGACAGCCAGCGGTGCAAGGTGGCCTTCTCTCATGGCCCACCAGAACCTGCTGCTGATGTGCTGGTGGCATTGCTGCTCTCCATTGTTCCCCCTCAGCCGTAGGGTTTATTTGGGTTTCTGCATCCTGAGTGGGACAGCTGAGCAGTGGGTGTCCCTCCTTCTGCTTGGGTGTGAGTTTGTTTGTTCCTGGCCGTCGGGGTGATGGACAGCATTGCCATGTCTTCCAGGACAGTGACTGATGCTTCTGAGGAAGGGTTTGGCAGGAAAATTTCAATGGAGAGGCCAAGAGTTTATGCGCAGTAGGGTGTGCAAGGCCCTGTGACTCCATAAGGTGCCACTGCACCCCGAGGTGTTTCCTGCAGAGTCCTTGGTGCATCACTGGGGACCTTCATGTGCACCTTCTCTCTGTCCGGATACTCCTCCCAGAGCTGACCATTCCTGGCAGTGTCTGTAGAGGGATTTCTCCAGAACGTCTAGGACAAGGTGCTGTGGTATGCTTTAAAATACTGTGTGATGCTCAAGTGGTAATACAGCAGCACTGCATGTGACATTTGGCAAACAAATGCCAGGCGATGTATCTGGGCAGAGGTTCTGTGAACAGGGCAGGGCTCATTGGTTGTACAACTCAGAGTTGCATGTAGCAACCAAAGAAATTGTGATAAGCAAATGATCCCAGAGACTAGCTTAAGGGATGACAGAAATTATCCTTGAAGGAGTCTGGCTGATGTTCAAGAAGTGGAAGAACCTCTGCCCGGCAAGCAGAAACCTGAAGGCCGCCTCAAGATGCCTCAGTTAAGGGTTTGTGAGATTTTATCACCACCAGTGTGGTCTTGCTGGCCTCATGATTAATTCTGTTGTTACCACTAATGGTACAAGGTAAGTGAAAAGGCAGAGCCTCTGTCAGGCTCTTTGCCCAGGACAGCAATTGCTGAGGAGTTTTTGTGAATCTTTTCTGGCCCCTGGGGTGCCTGAGCTCGCAGTGTGCCTGGCCAGTGTTTGACGGAGAGATGGTTCACACAGCGAACAGTGGATGAAGCTGGCCAGGGGAGAAGATGGAGGGGAGGAGAGCAGGAAGAAACAGCAGGTTAATGTGGTCTGTTTGGTGGGTGTAGGAGGGGTTCCTTCTATTTATGGGACTAATATTTAGTTTGGGAGTCTGGGCAGGCTCCCACCTTTATCAGATGAGCAGGTAGCAGCAGTGGCCCAATAGGCCTTCATCTGTCTTTGTATGGGACATAGCACTGCAGCTGTGAGGTGGCAGGATTTGGCAGTTGCTGTCGGCATCTGACTTTTCCAAATGGGTTCAGTCACACCACATGTGGTGCAACATCTTCTGTCTTTCTGGAAAGGGAATGTGGCAGCTCCTTTATTGCAAGGGTGCACGATATGAGGCATGCTGGGTTGGACGAGTGATGTTGCCAATGACTTTAGTCGTGTTCATCTGAAAGGTTCCTCCTTCTGCGATGGTGGGTGTACGTGGCCAGTGTGCAAGAGAAAACGAGGAATGGCGGTGTGTTCTCCTGAATTCCCCAACAGCCCAGCTTGTTTGCTGTCATGCTCTTTGGTCAGGGTGTTTATGTCCAGAAAAGGTAGGAGGTTGTGAAGGTTGAAATGCAATTTTGGGCTGTTGGGCATCAGGCAGTGTGGTCCCAGGAACTGGGAGAGCTGTTCCTCATGTTAGTTTTTTGAACATCTGGAGACCGCGAGGGTCACAAGGGCCCAGACGGATGGAGGTGGCATTGCCCAGGCCTATTCAGTTTGGTTAACTGGCTCCTATAGCTGCTGTTAGGGGGTGACCGAGAAGTGACTCTGGCTGCCCAGGGATTCTTCTGCAGCAGCCCAGGGCTCTGGGTGGCTCCTTGGTGTCCACATGAGGTCACTGCTCAAGAGAGCAGGTAGCCTTTGGGGACTCAGCATGACCAGCATGGGAAGCCTGCCCTGCTGCCTGCTGGAACAGCCGTGGACAAACACTGTCCCTTACAGCTGGGTTCTGTGGCAGCAGCAGGCAATGGGGATTGTGAGGTTGGGTGTTCTGCAGAAATCCTCCCTGTTAATACAGGGTGACACAGTCTGAGCCCCAGATGTTGGCATCAGTCAGAGGAAGGGTTTGGGTCTCACTAAAGCCCTCCAGATATCCGCGGGTGGAGAAAGTTGCTTTCTGGACTCTGACCCTGTCCCTTTCTCCCTTCTTACAGTGGCTCAGAAGGTGGTGGCTCTACGGAAGAAACAGCAGCTTTCCATCGGCCCCTGCAAGTCCCTGCCCAATTCACCCAGCCATTCGTCTGTCTCTGCGGCCTCCATTCCTTCCGTTCATATCAACCAGGTGGGAAACTGGAATGGGGAAACCCAGGGACCCCACATGCTTCTCCATACTCCCTTAGTTCACTCAATACACAGCATGTTTAACCTAGCCTTGGACTCGCACTACAGCCCTGGCGTAGCTTTTGGAAAAAGCAGATATTTGTCACCTTGGTGCTTCTGCCCATAGCCCAGAATAGCGTGATGCTTGCCCTGAGGTCAAACTTTGTATCTAAACCATTGGGTCTGGCTCATGGTTTCCAAAGATTGTGGTGTGCTTCCACAGACACTGGCGGCAGAGCCGTGAGCAGTCTGCAGGGAAGCTCCTGGGCAGAGCAGAAGGAGGTCTCTGAAAGGGGCCTCGGTCTGGCTGCCCTGGCCAGGCAGGCAAGCCTGGCTGGACACAGCTGCCCATGGTCCTGCTCCCCCTGGAAGCGGGAAGCTGATGGTGTTCCATGCATATACAGATGGGCTTCTTAGGGGATGTATTTATGGAGGGGCAAGTTCGGTGGTGAATTGAAGGAGTAGTGCGGAGGAGGAGGTTCTCTTCCCCTCTGCCAGAGGAAGGGCTCTGTGCTGTTCTTCTGGCACAGTGTTAGCTTGGCAGGGACTACCAAGGTCTCCATGCCAGGAGGATGGTGAAGTCAGAGGTGTTTGTTTTGTGACTCTGGAGGACCAGAACTGATACAGGAGGGGCAGGTCAGAAACCAAAGCAGGCTGCCATGGTGAGTGGCTGGTGGAGGAGATCCTTTGGGCAGCTGCCTAATTGCATTAGGGCTTTGCTGCAATTTCCAGCACCCACATAAATGCTGAGCTGGCTCTCTGATGAGGAAGGTGAGATACTGGGCTCTGCTGCTCCTCAGGGGCAGTCAAGCCAACAGGTTCCAGCTCTGAAGCAAGTGGCATATGAAATCACAGGATCTGTAGGAAGGACTTCAGGAAATCTGTCTGCCTGGCATGGTGCTGTCAGACTGAGAAACAGCAAGTGTAGCAGCTGGGTTTATGGAAGATGGGATATGGCATAGCTGGAGCAGCTGTGGGCCCCTTGGCTGCCTCAGCAGTGAGCAGCACTTGAAACAGTTTTTGAGGAAAAGAGTAGCTAAGGACTCAGAGGAACATGTAAAACTGAAGAAAATGCAAAGCAAGTTTAGCAAAACAAATTCCACCAGACTGACACTTCTTTTTTCATAAGGGGATTGGTTTTGAACCTTAGGGTGTATCTGAGCCTCTTAAGCCCCAGGAGGACTTCTGGTACACCACCACAGGGGAGATTGTTCCTGTACAAACTTGAGTAGTGTCTGAAGCCACTAGTTGGACCCTTACATAAAGAATTTTTAAATACCTACGTGAAGTTTATACCTGACTGTATAGGCTTCTAAAGCTGGACTGTGAGTAGGTGTGTACAGATTTTTGCAGAGACCTATGCAAGCTTCCTGGTGCTCTAGGTCACCTGGACCCCAGCAAGTTCAGATAAAGGCTCTGTGTGCAAGAGAATAGGCTAAGCCCTGCTGACAGCCAGAGCTGCCTGATGAAGCTACGTAGCTTTCTGATCAGATCTTGCTTGTGTCCAGCGGCCTTGGGATACAGGCAGAGTGAGCACAGACAGCTGCTTGCAAAACATACACAGCCATACCATCCCCTGCAGTATGTCTGGATATGGGTGCTTTTTGAGAAGTTTACTAGGATGCATCAAAGGTGGAGAGCAAAGTCCAGGGAAAATGCAGATTTGAGTGTACCGGGTAATTTGAGGATTTTATTAGCAGACAAATTGTAAACAGTCAGAGACTGGTTAGGAAGGATAGGCAGTCTGCACTGAAAGGGGGAGCAGGGCAGAAGATGGCCAAGGGCAGCGTTCTTCAGGGAGGAGCTGAACACTTGTTTAATATTTTCTTCAATGTCCAAAGTATGAGAAATGGGTCCTAACAAATAGGTACTAATGGCACTTGCTGTGCCAGGCAACGTGTTTGTAGTGAAGCTAAAAACATGTTCCCTGTGTGAGCGGTGTGGGAATACCAGACTCATTCTGATTCCAGTCGTAAGTATGCATTGAAACTGGTGTAGGAACAGCAAAAAGCAAGTGGAAGGCAAAAGAGACCCTAACACAAGAGGAAGTTAAGGACTTGGCTTGTTTAGCTGAGGAAAGCAAAGGCCAAAATGGAACAAATCTAACCTCTAAAATACACAGCTGTGAAAGGAAAGAACTTCTTAAGAAAAGAAGGTGCTAGAACAAAAGGGGTGGATTTAAGACTGGCCATGTGGAAGAAAAGTGTGGCCATCAGAAGAGGTTTCTAACTGCATGTCATGAGCTTTGTTAGAGGTTTTTGCTCAGAAACCTCCCTGCTTTCCTTTCCTTCCTGCAGAGTACCTTTCAGCCCGGTTTGCAGACAACATCTGTGTAGAGGTGAAAGCTGGTTCCTTGGCTCTGAGGCAGGACCTTTACTCTCAGTACCTTGCTGTGCTCCTGGGGCTTTGCCGGAGGGACCTAGGTAGTTCTGGTGGGAAACCAGAGCTGTTAAAGGGAAGTAATGCAGCATGCAGCTAACAGAAAATTGCAGCTAAGTGTGGGGCCTTTCTAAGCAAGAAATATTTATTGATTGCCTGGGTTGTAGCAGCATCAGCAGTAATGATAGGCCATGTCCTTCTGGAGCTTCCTCCCTCTGTCCTCCCTCCCCCCGTATATGCTCTGTGCCTGTCTAACACTGTGTCCCTCCTGCTCTCAGCAAACCTGGATGCCACAGTGAAGATCAAAGTTAATTTCTGTTCCCTGGGTCTTCTGTGGCCCAGCCACAAACCCTTTCAGTTCCCAGTGACCTGCTGCAGTAATCTTTGCTGTGGTGTTTGCACATCTCTCTTCCATTACAAAAAGCACTTCTCCTAAAAATAGAGTATGAAGTAATGGAACTGGTGAATGATCATAAAATGCTGTGAAGTATTTCCCCGTTCTTGCTTGGGCTCAGGAATGACGTTCTGGAACTGCTTTCTGCTGTCCTCGGAGAAAATCCAACTGACTTTGAGAAACACAAGCTTACTGATTGCTGATGTTTCTAACACAGACCTGGGCAGAGCGACCCATCTGGTGCATACGGGCTTGCTGCCCATGCAGGAGGACACACATCCAATAGTGAGCACAGTGACCAGGCAGTAACTGCAGCAGGGATGCAAAAGAGCCCAGAATCGCTCTCAGGAGTGCGCCGTGATGGTGGTGACGCACCAAAGGGTATGGTTTCCAGCATGAGCTGGAGCAGCTGTCCCTGACACAGGAGAGAGCTGGATGCAGACAGCTCTGGAGTCCTGCTGGGCACTGCGCTCCAGGTCTGGGCTGCAGAAGTGCCAGAGCCTCTGGGGGGCTGGGTGATGGTGGCCTCTGCTCCTGGCACTGAGATAACCAGTGGGGCAGCTCTGGGAGGAGATGGACAGACTGTACACTGTCAGGAAGGATGAACAAGAGAGTGACAAGGTCTTTGCAGAGTAGTGTTGTGTTCTGTCTTTTTCTACCTGAGGGTATGGGCCTCTCGCCAAGGTTTCCTACTTGCATTCGCAAGTGAGAGGGTAGGAACTGACGCAGGGAAAAGGATCTCAAGGAAGGGTTTGGGAACACGGGATTTAACATGGAGATGAGGTGGAAAGAAGCCAGACAAAGAATACAATTAGGAGCTTTTGTTTGCCTTGTACCACAGCTAGGTATTGGTGCATGCAGGCAAGACACACACACTGGGACAGAAGGATCTCTTTTTCTTCTCAGTACCGCTTGTGGGAACAGCGGGACTGGCATTTGCATCTTGAGTGCTTGGCCAGGAGGAGCCCTTGGGAGCCTGTGCACTGCTCTGTCCTCACAGGGCCTGATTTTGGGTGTCGAGAGGTGCTGCCTGCAGCTGCTGGCTGTGTGTGGTGGCAGCATTGCTCTGTCCCTTCCAGGCAGTTATGGCATCTTGGGCAGCGTTTCGTTCCCCTTAGCAGGCTGCCTTTCTGACGGCTGTTAGCAACAGCATTCCCTTCCCCCTGGATCGTCACTCTTCCCTTCTGCTGGTAGCTACGGTTTAGGTCTGCCTCCCTTCATAGCTTTGTGCCCGGAGAGTTGATCGTGCCATCTGAGAGGAGAGGAATGTTCTGCTCGGTGCCTGGTCTCCTGGCCCGTGCAGGCAGGGACAACTCTGTCTTCTGGAGCTGTCAGTGAAGGCAGCACTTGTCTTCTGGAAACAGGAACAAGTGGTCCCTACACAGGATTGCTTATGGCAGGCAGGAGCTGGGAGCCAGCCCTGCCTCTTGTCATAGTCCTGGGGACATCTTTTCTGGAAGTAGTTTGATGCTACTAGTTGAGCCAAACTAACTTTTTTGGAAACGGCCACTGCTTGTCTGGTCTTCTGACAATCTGGCCAGTCCATTGCAATTAGTGGGAGAGGAGAGACCCTAGAGGACCCTGGTGATTTTGTCACTCATCTGTGCAGACAACTTACTTCTCCTGGTGTGAGGTGGTGGCTGGTTTCCAAACCTTTGTGATTGAGCCAGGTTCCCAAATTGGCAGGGCTCTGGGACAGCGGTGCTGTGCAAGGTGTTTTGGTGTCCTTGCACAGTGGATGATCCTCTTTATGAAACAGTTCTTGAACCAGCCAAAGGCCCCAGTTTCATTTCTGCCTTTGGGAGTTTGGGGTTTTTTGCTTTTATTCCACTGCGGTGCCTGGTGCCTCAGAGGACACTACTTCCATCAAGGTGGAGAGGAACGGAGCTGTAGTAGCAGGTCAGCTGTGATCAGGGTTTTCCGCCAGCACTCACGAGTGTGCCAGACATGCTCATCAGGTCTGTGACCCTGAGTACCGTGTTCAGCATCTCCCTGGTCCTCGCGTGGCAGGAGCCAGGGCCAGCCCCAGGAGTCCTGCACGCTCCCTTGGGGATGCCAGGTCTGTCCCTCAGGCCTTCCTAGTGGCTCATGGGATGTGGATCTGCACCCGTTTGAACAGACACCTCAGATGCCCCAGGACCCCAGCTTTCCCCCAAGAAAAGCTCTTGCTCGCCTGCTGGTTTGGGCTCTCCTCTCTGGTGTCCTGCCCGCACCCATCACTGGGCAAGCAGGTTAGATGGGTTTGGGAATCCCATTTCTCCGCTTGGCCTTGACTTCTACCCTGCTCCCTTTTCTGGCAGCTGCCTGTCCCTTGCCTGCAGGGTATGGGTGGGAGTTTCTTGGGCCAGTGGATGCTTGCAGTACTTGCAGAGTTATTCCACCTGATTTCCTTACTGTTGCTACCCCTTTCTCCATCTTTCTTCAGGGACTCTGAGATGCGTTTAGGAGTACCCCAGGCTGTGGGATGAGTCACCGTTGCCCATTTGCTGTGGGACAGAAATTTGTCTTTCTGCCAGGGAACTCATTCCCAGCAGCTGGCAGGAGGTAACATAGGCACCCCACACCAATCCTTGCAGGCTGGTGGAGTGAACTGCGTAGTCCCCCGGGCCCTGGGAGCTGCTGCCGGCCCCCGCTGCGCTGCGTGGGTGCCCGGGTGTCCCTGGCTCTGCTCGGCTGTCCTCCTGGTGTGGGACGGCCCAGTGTCACAGCTTCACTCTGCTGGCCTTGGCCTGCGGTCCTGCTTGGGTTCTTCAGTGACAGCAGGAAGTGCATTTACCGAGACTTTAGTAAGAGAGCAGATGAAAGAGGTGGAAAATTACAGTTTGCAAGTGAAATGAAACACAAATGGCAGCTCACCTGTGCTCAGTAGCGAGTGCTTCCCTGCCTGTCGCAGCACGTTTCAGGAGAGTTCAGTGAGCGCGTGTGTCTTGGCAGCTGAAGCAACGGGTGTTTGCATTTCCTCCTGGAAGCCCGTGTCCCGTAGCCTGCTCAGCCTGCGATGCTCTCCATTTCATGGTCTGTACACTCCTGGCTTCATCCCTGTTCCTGTGCAGACACTGAGTCGGTGGCTGCTGTTCATTTGCACTCTTCCGTTCAGAGCCCTTCCCAAATTTCACTCCTTGTTCCACCTTGTGCCTTTTTATGCCAAGAGTTACTACATCTTAACTTCAGCTGAGTTATTCCCTGCTGAGGCACCCTATGGCACTATCGATATTCTCTGAAGTTCACAATATTCACCCATTACACACTAATGGGAAGGACTTGTCCCACATGCTTTTTACTACGTTTTCAGCTTCTGCTGCATTCTTAGATTTCAATAGCAACCACAGGTGGTTGTTCAAGTGGATCAGCAAAGTAGCTGCCAGGAGCAAAAATAAGGTGTTTGCCCAGACCTGTCATCTTGTCAGGGTTCTCCCACATCCCTGCAGTTTGTTCTGGGTCCCTGGATCCCTAGTGAAGTCTTGCAGCAGTCTGCTTCAGTTGAGCAGTGCAGTGGCTCAGGATTGCCTGTGTAGCCAGAGGCTGCACTGCTGTCTGCCTTTGGGGGAATTTCTCCTCTGCCCCCAGACTCACGGGATGGTACCAGTCCTCACACTTACCTTTGTAGGTTGGTGCAAGACATCCTCCAGCCCCAGTACCTTTCCTCAGGTTTGGGGGTCTGTGGGACACCAGCAGGCTCAAATGCTTGTGTCCTTTGTCACTCAAGAACAACAATAACCTTGACTTGTCTCCAACACTAGGCAAACTTATGGGCTAAGGAAAATGATTCCAGCCAGGCAAAAATTACGAACAAGGTTACAGGGAGTATGTAAAATACAAACCGCAATTTAGCAAGATTTCTTCCTAGGAGCTTTAGCATCCATCACCTAACATCCACAGGTTTGTCCCAGCTGCTATGGCAGGAGCTCAAACTCCTTCTTCTGAACTTCAGTTCAGCCTCTTCTGAACTGAATCCTTCCACAGTCATAGCTTCATAAATGTGCTGACAAGGTTACTGAAATATGCAGAGCTTAGCCAGGAGACTACCTCAGAGTAGTTTCTGGACTCCTGGCAGCCTTGCCTGGCTTACCTTCCTGGGCAGCAGGTTTTCTGTGTTGCAGCATCGGCCATCTCTTCCCTCACACTTGGAATCTTTTTCTTTTTTTGGCATGGTTCACACATTATGCATCAGTTAAATACTGATTGTACACGCATTGTTATGCCTGATCCTAAACTTGACCTGTCTCAGCAAATTCTCTTCAGCTTGGTAGCCCTAGCTTTCTGCATCTGTTCCTTCATCACAGCATTTGCAGAACACTTTTTCACACAGTGTTGAATCCATGGTTTGCAGGAGGTCTCTGTTCACAGTGCAGAAGTCACTGGCCGGGTGGCACATTACTTCGCTTCTCCATGTCCCTGGTGGTCCCCGTTTCCCTGAGACATGGCAGCAGAACTCCCTCGTTCAGTGCGGGGTTCGTCAGCTGGATGGCCTGCGGAGAAGCTCCCTGGTGATGTTCACCTCTCTGGATGGAGTGCCTGGCCTTTTTTACGCACAGAGAAGTACAAGCAGACCGGGTTCCCACTCCTTCTGTGTTTCAGGGCACCAGAAGCTTTCCTGTCTCCAGACAGGCTTGGGACAGTCCGAATCCTGTACTGGTAGGGAGGCCACCTACTTGCAGCAAGGCTTTCCTGAAAGCCACAGAGCAGCCGCATGGCCTCCAGCTCCTCGGTTTGAGCCACACGTGCTGCCAGGCTGGCAGCAGGTAGGAGCTCAACCAGTGAGTCCCTTTTGGTACGAGGCTCCCTTTCCCCGCTGAGCAGTCAGCAGGGCTGGGCAGGCTGCAGAGGATCTGTCGCTTGGTGCTGCCCTGTCTCCAGCATGGTGTTAGGGTCTCCCAGACCCACTTGGAGACAGCGGCCTTCAAGGACATTTTGTCAGCTCACAGGCTTCACCTCCCCACTGTGGAAGGGTGTTTTGCTCTGGCTTCAGGCAGCACCGTGCTGCAGGCAGGCTGTTATGGAGCTGCTCCAGAGCCTGGGGTAGCCCTGGCAAGTAGGGGCATTCTAACTTCCCAGAAGCAGCTGTCAGCTCCCTGAACGTGGCCATGAAGGAGGTCCATCTCAGAGTCCTTCCAAAGCAGGATTTCCCTGCGGCACACTTGGCTGCCCTCAGTCAGAAGTCCCTTGCTGTGCCTCAGAGAGGAAGAAGTTGGGCTGATTCTTGGATGACTCTTTCCTCTCTTAAGAGAAGTTCTCTTTTGTGTGTCTTCTGCCATTTCTCTCATCAAAGATGAGACGATCCATAGCTTGAGTGAAAGTGCACCCTTTCTAGGAGACTGGGCTGTGGGTCGCGGTCGCTGCTCTGCCTGCACAGCTTCTTTCATGCTTCTAACGTTTCTTAACTGCTTGTCTCAGAATAAAGCTCAGGTTCTTGGAGCACGGCATGCACATGCGGGTGTTTTCTCACTGAGCACCTCTGGCAGATCCTCATCCTGCATGTGGTTGCACTTTCTGCTCTAAGCAGTAGGTGGGAGTGGAGGAAGCCCCGAGGCTGTCAGATGCTGCTGCTCTGTGAGCATATGAACTGGGAGGAGGTGGGCTGCTCCCTGCAAGGGGTGCCGGAGCTCTCCTAGCCTTCTAGGAGCAGCTTCTTCAATGTGTTTTTGAAATACTGTTCAAAGATCGGCAGAACTGCCAAAGAGAGCTCAGGCTGGCACGTGCCTTGTCGTAGTAAGACGTCCTGGGCTGCAGATCTGAAATGCTTTTGTGCAGGTGTTGCTCCTTGGGACCTCTTGTAAGCTCATTTCCAGGTTGTTGCCCGCAGAGGTTGCGTGAGCAGAATGCGAGTGAGCACCTACTTGTCTGAAAGAAATGCGTTGCTGAGATGGTTGCACAAACTGCATGGTTAGATCTTCCCCTCTCCCTGAAGTCAAGCAAGTTGTTAACGAAGACGCAGTGTGTTGTCCCACATGTTCCCAGACATGGGCCACTGCAGCCAAGGCCACGGTGGTCCACAGGCTCAGGAGGTGTGTGCCACCCCTGGGGTCTGCTTGGATAAACCTCAAAACCAGCAGCAGAGATGCTTTTTACATAGAGCGTGAGCTTGACTTGTGGCAGCCTGTGCTTTAGGACACCAGAAAGGCGAAGGCTTGAGTCCTAGTGACACAGATCCCTGTTGGTATCGTAGCTGTCATCGTGAGACAGGGAAGGGACCAAGTGGGACTTGGAGCCAGGCAGGCTGTGGGCTGCCTTACAGCTTCATGTCCGATGGCCTCTGTGGAGAGGAGGGTTCCCACCAGCAGGCTGTCCGAGGGATAGCTACACCAGTCCTGTGTTTTGGAGAGGGAGTGTGCTGAAGTATCCCCAGCCGTGCCCCTCCGAGAAGAGAGCCAGCTGCTGCTATTCAGAGCTGCGTGGTTCATTGCTGCCTCTGTGCCTTTGCTCCAGCCTGTGTGGAAGGGCTTCCCTGGCTGCCGGCCGACAGCCAGCAGTCAGGTCTTTCTGTCCATTTGCTGCTCTTCGCTGTTGGTGTCAGAATTTTAACATTTTACCAGTAGAAGAAACTAGAACAGAAAGAAGGGATGCGGCTTTCCCAAGATCCCCCGTTGGGCAGGAGCAAGTGCATGCCCCCATCCCAGTCCTGTGCTGTACCTCCTTGTCCCCGGTGCACGAGGCTTCCTAGGTGGAAGGTGTTTCTGCAGTCGTGCCCCGGGCAGCTGCTTGTCTCTGTCTGACTGTCCCATCTCGTTCTGCCCTAGGCCACCAATGGTGGAGGAGCCTTCAGTGACTACTCCTCCTCTGTGCCCTCCACACCTAGCATCAGCCAGCGGGAGCTGCGGATTGAGACCATTGCTGCCTCCAACACACCCACCCCCATCCGCAAGCAGTCGAAGCGACGCTCCAACATATTCACGGTAAGTGACACTGGGGTTGGAGGAGCTTTGGGATGAGTTTTCTGAGGGTCAGGCAAGGACAGGGGAAGGGAGTGGGTCCGCAGCAGTCTCGCCCCACAGACTTTCGTGCACTAGTCTCTAGGTGAACCTTGCTGTGCTGGCCAGGGAGGGATGGGTGGTAGGGGACACAGAGCGGGTGCGTGGGGGGTATCCCCGCAGGAGTGTGCGTGTGCAGCAGGGAGGGAGGGAGCCTTCTGCGTGCGCAGGGACTGTGGTGCCGAGAGCTGCTTCTGGTGGAGGTGTGTGTGCATGGGGGAGCACCTGAGAGCAAGCCGTTCCTTGCACACATAGGAGTGTGCAATGGGGTATGCTTGTGTGTGTGTATAGTGTGTGTGTGAGAGCAGAGCTCCCCGATCTTTACTGGGGAGAGCTGCACTTTGTGCGTGCACAGCACCAGTGACCTCTGCTGTTCCTCTCCTTGGGGCCGTGTCCCCTGAGCGTGGCACAAAGCCCCTGGTGACTGGGCCTCCTGTTTGGTGCCAGCTGTGCTGTACCAGGTGGTGCTGTGCAGAGCTCAGCACGTGGCACTGGGCCCCACTCGCTCCAGTACCCAAACCCCACATCTGTGTGACTTGAGCAGTGCGCCTGGGAACTGCTGTGGGGCATGGAGGGAGGGGAGGCATTAGGGAGCCAGCAAAGCCATGGGCCCCAGGTGATACAGGGTACGTTTGCAGCTATTATCTCTGCTGGTTGAATTGCAGCCTGCCTCTCAGCATGCTCTCACACCATGCACACACCTGTCCACGCAGCGTGCACACAGTCCTGCCCACACACTTACCCTCGCTGTTAGCACAGCCCGTGAGTTTCCCCTTGCTGTTAGTGTACACATACTCCTAGTCCCCGTGTCTAGCGTAGATAGCCTGTGTTCCCCATGTAAATGTGCTCTTCTCCCCCTGGTACCCCTGTAAATGTGCTGGGCTCAGGCCTCTCTCCTCCTCATCTAAATGTGCTTTCCAGCCACCATTGCTCAGTACACCCATGTCTGCTGTCTGTGGAACTGGCCACCACAAAGTCCTTGTACGTGTTGCACCATGTTACCCTGTGTGAACAGCCGCCATTGCTCTGGACCCAGACCACATGAATTCACAATGTCCCGTGCCCCATCCCTCCCACTGCACTGTTGGCACCCCAGATTCCCCTGACTCCTTGTGCTGGGACCGTACCCATCTCCCCCAGCTTCTGACATCCTGGAAGCATCTGCTCTGATGTCCTGAATGCTCCATGCACTCCCCACCGTCTGCATCTCATATGCCTCCCGGTTCTCCGGTTCTCCGTGTGCACGTGTTCCCAGCCCCCCCGCAGCGCACGTGCTCACCCCCGCTCCCTGTGCTGCCTGGCAGGTAGGCTGTCCTCCGCCAACCTCCTCCTCCCAGCACACACAGCCCCTTGGAGCAGATCCACTGCTCCTGACACATGGTTGTCTCCTTACTAGCCCTCCCCTCCTCTGTGTGCTCACGCCTCCCCGAGGATGCCCTGTAGGTCTCCTGTTGTCGATGGTCATGCTTACTGTTGTACTTCAGTGCTGATGGATGCTTCTCCTCCCTGCCCGCCGTTTCTCTCGCTCATGCTTGCTGCTGTGCACCAGTGCACGTGGGCGCTCATGCACTGCCACCCATCCTTCTGCTCGCCTGCGCACTGACGGGTTCTGGACTCGCCGTCAGCTCATGTTCATGCTTCTCACTCCTCCCGGAGCCCCATGCTCAGCTCACTTGGTGTGGGCACTCGCTTATGGGGGGAGGAGGAGGGCGGCTTGCTGTGGGGCTTACGCTTATTTGCTGTGGACGTCATCATCCGTCTAGGACTCTCACTTGCTCACTCATTCTGGGCTCAAGCTTGCTTACTCTCGCTGTGGGGCTCACCCGTGCTCATCTGGGCTCGCGCTCACTCGCCGTGGTGCTGGGGCTCACGCTCACTTGCTTGCTCTTGTGCCTGTGCACATACATGGCTCACGTTGAAGTCTTCACCCCATTTGGTCGTGGCAGCAGCAGCAGCTCCCGACACCTCCTCCCTCAGCGCGACAGGGCCAGGAAGAGTAGGGAAGGGAAAGGAAGGGAAGGGAAGGCTGTTTTTCTGCCGCTAGCTTTTCCCAGGCAGGCAGCGTAGCTGTAGCCAGCAGCCCCCGTCCTCAGGGGGTCCCCCAGGTGGGCACGGGCCTCTCTGAGGTCCGGTGCTGGGCAGGGCCGTGCTCCGCTCAGCGCCAGGAGCAGCTGCAGCCCCAGCCCCGACCTGTGCCTGGCTCCTTTGCGTCCAGTCCTCCTCCTCCTCCTCCTCCTCCTCCTCCTCCTCCTCCTCCTCCTCCTCTCCTGCTCTCGCTCCCCTCCTGCTCCCCACGCCGGATCGCGCCCCACCGCCCCAGAGGCGGGGGTCTGCGTGCCGGAGACCACCAGGTGGAGACAGACTCTGCCCGAGAGGCGCCCACCCCGTCCCCGCTAGCTGGAGCCCAAACCCCGACTGCTGCTGCCGCCGGCGCCCCGCTCCGTGGCCTGTCTGTCTGCCTGTCCGCTGGCGCCCATCGCTGACAGACTCGTGTCCGTGTTCTGAGTATAACTTGCCAAACTCTTTATTCTTTCGATATTTGCAGATATGTGCCACTGTTTCCAACTTTTCATCAACAAAAAGGCCTTTCCAACTCCTTCCAAATTAGAAGATCCAGGTGGTTACACACGGCACCTCTGTACAAATTCTCTCACTTTTCATTGCCTCTCCAGGGCCGGATAAGGGATGGGCACTGGGATTGATCTAAGATTAGAGGCTCGCCCGCCCTCCAGCCAGCATGGGTCCCCCCCTCGGAGACACGCAGGAGCCTTTTAAATCCCCCCAATGTAAAGTCTAGGAAGCGCTGAGACGGCCTGCGCCTGCACTTTAAGCTGGGACATTTCTGGGCCTGCTGGATGCTGTCTAGGCACTTTCCATGCTCGGGGATGCCAGGCGGACGACCCTCATGGGATGGGAAGACCTGCAGACCCGCCGGGACCGGGCGACAGCAGCGAGTGGAGCTGGATGGGCCAAAAGACGCTTTGCTGCTGCCTGCGGGAGCTGCTGTTAGCGCCTGCTGCTAGCACTCAGCTCCTTCCTCCCTACTGCACCTCCTGCAGCCTGCATGGACTCCTGCTCCTCCTCCTCTTCCTCCTCGCAGCAGAGCAGCCATCTATGTCTCTTTAGTTTTCTTCTCTTTCAATCTCTTTGTTTTGTTCTGGGCCCAAAAGCAAGTGAATCGGTGTCCCAGGCGCATGGGGCTCGTGTCCCTTTCTGATCCAAAGCACATGGGGCGCTCCCGGACTGAGGGGGTGTGTAGGACACTCCAGAGAGACGCTGCCGCTGCCCTTCTGCCATTGTTGTGATTCTGAATGTATTGATTGTGCTCCATGCCGTGTATGACTTGATATTTTCCTCTGTCCTAAGCACTTTGAATGAGTTCTGCTCAACAGACTGTATATTTCATATTGTATTTATTGGAGTTTGCTCTCACTGCAGCCGCCCTCGGGGGCTGGCAGGTTTTGCTCTCAACTCTCTAGACGTGTGATAGATATTTATTGTCCATGCTCTTTTGTAAGGGGCTGGTATCTCTGCCCGGTGACCTGTGCTACTTTGTATGGTGCAAGTGTGTTAACAGAATAAATCTGTTGGATTAGTACAGGTGTGAGTTCCTTCACTGCCTTAGCCTCTCCTGCTTCCATCCATGCTCCACCTGCATCCCATGCCATTTCTGTCTGTCGCCATGTCCTGTGTGCCCCCGCGGGAGGGGGGGGTCAGAGGTAGCCCCGTTCTGCTAGGAGGACAGCTCTGCTTGCAGTTGTGGGGGGAGAGGACAGCTTGCCAGGGGCAGGTGGTGGGGAGGCTGGGGCTGGAGTGTCCCTAGAGGGGACGGGCGAGATGCTGGCTGCTCCATGCGCTGGGAGACCTGGCCTGGGGGAGAGTGGTCTGGTCTGCTCTGGCAGCCCGCTGGGGATGGTGGGGCCATGCGTTTCTGTCTCCCGTGCTCCTGCCTCTAATGGACCTGTGTTTCTTCTCTTCCAGTCTCGAAAGGGCGCGGATCCGGAGCGGGAGAAGAAGGTGCCAGAGTGTAAAGCGGACAGTATCGGCAGCGGGCGGGCCATTCCCATGAAGCAGGTTCGATCCTCCTCCCTTCACCCCCATGCAAGAGCAGGCTCCCTGGGGAGGTGCCGCGAGGCTTTATGGTGTGGACTGGGGTGCCTTCGCTGGGCACGAGGCACGGGGGAGCACGGAGGAGCTGGGCGCCCCTCGGCCCACCCGACCCGGTGTCTTGGGGGGCTGCACACCTGCCTGGACCTGAGGAGCACTGTGCTGGGGGTGCTGGTGTGGACCCTGCACCATGTGTGGGTGCTGGGTGTGGAGCGGGGGCTGCTCCGGCCAGCTGGCGGAGCCGTTCCAGCAGAGGGCAACCGTGCCACACGCCCGCTCCCCGGGCCCCCAGCTGCAGACCCCCGCTGCAGTGCTCCTCTTCCTCTTCCTCTGCTCTCCCCTCTCTTGTCCTATCCCTTTCCTCTCTGCTCCTGCTCTGCTCCTGCTGCTGCACCACACCAGCCCAGCTGTCCTCCAGCAGGACAGGGAGGCTCTCCTCATCAGCGCAACGGCAAAAAGCAGCAAGCACAGTGCCTGCGCCATGAGCCGCCGTGAATCCGAGGATGGCAGCTGCTTGCTCTGGCAGCGGTGTGTTCTACTCCTGCCTCCTGGCTTCCAGGGAAGCTCGAGCTGCCTGGAACCAACCCTGACCATTGCCTGTCCCCCTGTCCATCAGCTGGAAAAGCAGTGACGGGCAATGTCTGAATGAGCCAAGTGGTATGGATTGGGTGGATGGTGTTTCCAGCAGGATTCCCTTGCACTACTGGCAAGACTCATCCGTTCACTGCTTTGCAGCACCTGGCTGTGCTTCTGCCTTGCACCCTGTACCCCCTGTTGTGAATCCATTTTTCTTCCTCAGCTGGCCTCTCTCTGCCCCATCTGCCTACACACTGCTAGGGCTGAGCTGCTGTGCACATAAGGCCGGTTACGTCTCTGCATCGCAGGAGCATTGGGCAGTGGGGCGGAAGGGCAGAATCTGCGTCCTGACCAGGTACTGTCTTCCTGGTACCGTTTCGTGCTGAGTATTCACTGGGGAAAGAGATCCCCAGGAAGGACTCGGTGAGCCCAGGCTGACTGAGGAATGGGATGGTGGGTCAAAAGAGAGAAATGCTGCTTGCTGCTGGAGCTCCCAAAGCTTCCCGTCCTTTCCAGTTCACGTAGTAATACTGTGAAAGGTTTGCGAAGGGCTGCTGTCAGTGCCGCTGACAGGGGAGTGCAGTGGAGCAGTGCTGGAAGGAGGGCTGCATTTGGGAGGGCAGCGTGCTGAAGGTTGGCTCTGGGGCTGGAGAGGAGCACTGGCAGGGGAAGCAATGCTGGGTGCCAGGGCAGGGGCTGTGGGGTCTCACACATGGGGGCTCTGCTTCCAGAGTGCTAAAGGCTTGCACAGCCCCAGCAGGAAGGGGCATATCAGCTGCATGCCAGGTCATGCCCCTTCTCTCTGTGGCATAGGTCCTTTTTTTTAATCTCGGGGTTGGAGAAGGGATCAAGCCTCCTTTAACTCTTTCTTCCACCGCTTCTGCTGCTGGGGTGCTTGCCCCTCTGTCCACACTGCTCCTCTCATTTCCAGGCAGAGCTGGCTGCCTCTGCACACCCTCTGGTAGGGGCTGTGTGCTGGAGACAACGGGCATGCCCAATCCAGGACCACTGAGCACTGACCTAGAGGGCTGTGAGGTGCACAGTCCAAGCCCTGGCTCTGTGCCATGTGTGCTGCCTTTTGGCTGCCCGTCAGCATGGTGGGTAGTTGGTTTGCGGTGGCAGCGCCTGTGCGATCTGCTTTTGAGTCAGCCCAGCATGGCAGGCAGGGGAAGCAGTGGGCGGTTGTTCCGTGGTGAGGAAGGGGAGGCTGAGAGCAGAGCAAATGGAGCCTTGAGCTAGACCTGACTTGGCTCCCCAAAACTGTGCTGCTGACTGCAGGAGGTCTGGTTGTGGGAGCATTTCCATGGCCTTTGGTTTCTGGAACTTTGGGTTGCTTTTTCCAGGATTTCCCTTCACTCAGCACAGCAAGATGCTTTCTTTACCTGCTCCTGTGTCTCTCTGTGTTGCTAACTGGGCCTGGACTTGTCCAGTCTGCTGGAAATGGCAGTGTTTTAGTGCAATTATTAAGTCGTTCCTTGCTGTAGGCAGAGCAGTGCTGTTACTGAGTTGAACAGGTGGAGAACTGAGGCAGACAAAGGCCTAGGTCTGCAAAACAAAGCTTGAACATCGTTCCTGTGCTTTGCAAGAACAAATAGGTGCCAAACTACTTGCCTGGTTCAGGACTTAAGTGAAGGGACCAGTTTGCACGGCAGCAGCTCGCCAGGAGAGCCTGGAGCAAAACGTTACCTTGTGAGATCTGGGTCTGTGCCCGGGCTCAGGACTGGCACCTCCTGTAGCCAAAACTGCAGGAGGTGATTTCACAGAGGAGATCCTGGCAGCCTTTTTACAGGAACATGTACTGACACTGGGGGAAGCAGTGTCTTGTCAGAAAGGTAGGCGCCAGTTTATGCGAATGGCTCTCCCTCCTGGGCTCTGACTGACTGTGTTACACCATACTGGAGCTGCTGGCCCTGGGGCAATGCTCAGGCCACAGAGCACTACTGTGACCTGTCTCTTGAGATACTGTGGCACTCTGAAATTGCTGCCCTCCCACTGCTTGAATTAAACAGTTGTGCTACAGCATCTTAGGAAGACACAGAGCTTTGTTCCTAAAGGAGAAAACAAGCCAATATCCACAAGCAGGTTATGGGGGATGGGGTTGATGTAAACATGCAGTGCGGTAGATCCAGAGTAACATCAGAGGAGTGCTGCAGTTCTGCACCATCCCTGCTGTGGCCTTTCGCCAGGTCATCCCTCCAGGAGGAGTGATGACGTGGCACCACCAATGTGAAAAGGAGCAAAGACTCTCAGGAGCTGTAGCTCCATATCACAAAGATTCGGGATAGGTGATGATTGCTCTGCTCTCTGATATGGAGCTGCCCTTTCTGGAAGATCATGGAGATCTCGTTGCTTGCCATCTCTTTGAAGGGTAGCAAAAGAGCAGGGCTTTTAGCTAGTTTTACTCTTACGTGGTCTGGTGGTCCTGCCCAACCATAAAAAGAGCAGTGAGGTCGGTCATTTTGAAGGTTGTAGAGTGGCAAACATGCAGGATCTTCTGCCTGGGTGCTTGGCCAGTTTCAGACTGCTTTGCTTCCCTCAGCATGTGCAACTGCTGGGCCGACGGCAACAAATGCTGTGTTTGGGGTGCTGCAGCCACGGGTCGATAACCTTGGGAGCGGTTTGATTCCTCTGCTTGGAAGAACGAGACTGGTGCATGCTTAAATGACCTAAAAGTAGTTGAAGTCGGCAGGTGATGTGGAGCAGCAGTAGGGGCAGTTGCCCTGCAGATTCCTTCAGCGAGACCTGTGGCTGTGATCACTGTGACCGGTGCATGATCTCTTCCTTGGACTCTGTGGGAAGAGGACTAGCACTAGGGATTGCTGGCAGCTTTGTTTGACTCTCGGTGATTTGGGTTTCTGCACAGAGCCAAGTCTGATGTCTGGGAAGGCTGACCACGAAGTGGGAGACTGGTTGTGTGTTGCAGAAAGGAGAAATGTTGGGTGGACACTTTGCTTGGCTGAGAAGGGAAATATGCTGCCATGGAGGTGTGGTGGCTGGCTGTCACTTGTCACTACCTTCTCCAGCACAGCTGAGAACAACGCCTCTGGGTGACCTGCTCTGTCTCCCTTACATCCCACGCACACCTAGAAGAGATGGAAATCCCCAATGGGACAGGTGAGACCATGGATGTTGGGGCCCCTCTATGCCTAGGACAGCACCTCCTCTCCCTCCAGGCTGCAGAGCCAGTGCCTCTGCTGGGGCTGCTCTGCACTGTGGACTCAGGATCCCTTTGCTGCAATGTCCTTTCCATGATACGTAGGTTCAGCTGGTCTTGCAAGGTCGGAAGAGCTTCTTCGTAGCTGGACGCTTGTCTCCAAAAAGTGGGTTAATTAGGCCAGGAGACTAAGCTTCCCCAGCTGTTCGTTACTAGGAATGAACTCCTAATTGCACATGTACCAGATTCTTTCTGGGAAGGCTGAACTGAATGCACAGGCAGCCCAGGGGTCCCCAGGTCCCTGGCCCGGCTCAGTTTGGGCCATGCACTCCAGTAGGGCCCAAGGCGGGTGACTCCTCCTCCTTGGGAGCTGGGATCATGCTGGGAGCTTAGATTACATTTAAATTGCCATTTGCATTTTCCAATCAATACGCGACTTTACAATTAAGTTTGGTGTTAAAATTCTTAGCAAAAAGTGAGTGGAAGGGAGATTTGTGGAGTAAACGAGTCCTTTGGGGGCCATCGCTGCTCCCTGCTTCATTACGCTGCATATTGCTGCTGCTGCTTTTACTGTGCACCACCACAATCCAAACACAACACAGAGACACTCGTGCTGGCCGACAAAATGCCGGGAAAGAAAGGAAAAGTGGGGAGAGGAAGAGGGTTGGGCTCTCTTGCCTGTCGTCTCTGGCAGCTTCTTCCCTTTGTGCATGACTTCCAAACTTGTGAAGAAACTTGTGGAAGAGTTATTTCTTGTAAATCTTTCCATGAGAAGCAGAGGGAGCTTGAGGTGCGGAACCAATGTGTGCCAGTGTGGGGGTCTCAGCAGACCTGAGGAGCCCGGCCAGGAATCGCATTGGGGTGCGTGCACAGGAGCACACCGAAGACGTGCGTGGAGGGGATGAGTTCAGCTGTGGGGATGCGCCTGCCTCTGGTGTGTTCTCCCGCATTTCACCTGGCTTTGTCCTCCTTGCCATTCTCACTTCTCTCTGAGCTGCTGTGGGGGCTTTCCTCCAGGAAAACCGGGGTTCTCTGGATGCTGGTGGTCCAAATCTTTACATTCCACCATCAGAAAATAAGAAGTTGGGCTACAGAGTTGTAACCTTGATGCAGTCAGCACAGCAACACCGTTAAAACCTGGAATCCTCTTGGCTTCTGTCCCTTGCCTCTTAATCTCCAATACAGCAGTGAACAACAAGTCTAACCGAGCTCTATCCCTCGATTCAGCTGTTTCTTGCAAATGTTTGGCCTTAAGGGCCCCTTCCCCTCCCCCCCATTTTATTAGATGTTTACTTAGACTGTGTAGTTGCTCCCAATTTTGGACTCCTGTGCCTTCTGGCTTGAAAAAATGGGCTGCCAGTGCTCGATTCTCTGTTTCCAGGTCTGGTTTTGCTTGTGTTTCAATTTGCAAAGTTCCAGATTTGTAGCTGAACTAACTGCAGCTGAACTCTTCTCTGCAGACAACACATTTTTGGGGCTTGATAGAAGATGCAGCAGCCTGAAAGTGCTGAAGTAGGTATTTTGTAGCACCAAGGTGTATCAAGTCGAAGATGCATCAAGGAGAGGAGAGGCAGCCAGAGTTGTTTGGCAGTATGTATTGGCAGGTCAGACTGTAGAACTGAGCCAGGTTTAAGGCCAGAAGGGATCATTATGCCCAGAAGCCAGAGAATTTCACCCAGTGACTTTGAGCCAAATTTGTAACTTCAGCCTGGTCTGGGGCAGATTTATTTGAAAGATACCAAACAAACATTCTCAAATACAGAGAATCCACCGTTTATCTAGATTAGCTGGTGTAATATTAAACTGTCTTTATATGTGAGGTGGAATAATCATTTTCATACACGATGTGGGAGATGCATGGTCCAGCAGTGGTGCTAGAGAAGATGATTTCGTGTAGGTCAGAACCAGAGCAGAGCCAGCCGCAGCCTGGTGTTGAGAAAACACAGGTACTGCTGCTGTGTGTGAGGATGTCTTACAAGACCCAAGAAGCAGTCTTGCCTCTGGCACGGTAAGGCACTGAATGGGCTGCTGCGTCCCAGTCAGGACACTGCTCTTTGAGCTCTGGGACAGCCAGAGACTCTCCGGGTTAATGTTTTCAGAAGCGCATTCTGCAACACAGGAGCGAGATGTGGGCCTGTGAGTCCAGAGGAAAGAATAGGGCATCAGGTGTAATTGCAGTCCTCAGATAATGTTAAAGGCTGCTGCAGAGGACCCAGGACCACTCTGAGCAGTCACTGCGACAGAACAAGTGCTGCACTGCCTTTTCGTCATGGAGGTGCAGGAAACATCAGGATCCGATCTCTGGTGGGAAGGAGCACAGTCTCCGTCACTGGTGGTTTTTATGAAGAGGTTGGAGTGATGTGGGTACACCTGAGCCTGCCCTGGGCAGGGATGTGGCGAGGTGACCTCCGAATGCTCTTCAGCCCTGCTTTGCTATGATAATATCACACCTGGAGGTAATACTGTCTGCCCTGTCTGACCTGACAGTCCACTGCCAGGTTGAGTTATCTTCCTAACTGAACACCAGGAGCTCAGGAAGCACTCGGCAATGGTGCTCTCCAGCCCAGTGAGCCCACCCTGCAGGGTGGTCTGGTAGTCTGTCCCCAGGAGCAGGACCTCGCATGAGCTGTGCTAAAATCCACGCTGTTCTCAGGAGCCCAGTTTGCCAAGTGATATGAGGCAATTTGCGTTAACGACCAGCCACTGCAGTGATTTATGCTGTGCTGTTTCTATGTTACCTTCAAGTTTTCTGCTTTTGTGTTTTCTTCAAGCTCATTTGGGGAAGACATTGATTAAACAGTGTGAATCAAATGCAGATTGGCTGGACCTCTATACAAGTACTTCTGTTGGACATGGATTTGCCATTTATGATTACACTTGTCTCATTTATGATTATGTTTTGAGACCTTTCACTTGACCAGTTTTTACTCCGTACATTAATGGCTTTATGGATTTTGTACATTTGGTTTTTAATGGTGTGTACTGCTCAGTTAAAATCCTGACAGAAAACTAAAAATGCTGTGCCAACACAGTTACGTTGTCATCAGATATTGACATCTTACCAAAAGTAGGATCAAACTTCTTTGATGACCTATTTCTGCATTGATTGGCATTAGTTACACTGCTGTCCTCTCATTCTTTGCTGATCACTTCTTGCGGTGGCTTTTCCACAGTTTTGCCCAGTGTAAGCGCCAGGCTACATGGCCATAATTACAAGGGTCATTGCTTTTCCCCTTGCAGATCTTGGCAAAGCATGAGCTTTCGGACTGCTGCCATGTTCCAAGACATGTTAAAATCAGCACCTTTTAACCGCTGCTGAGTGAGCTCTTCAGCTAATTCTCTCGGAGCTCTTGAAGGCAAGGGATCAGATCCCGCCACCAACACAGCTTAGCTTTTGCTGCTCTGTTTTAACTTTCTCTCCCTTGCACGAGTAGGAGGCGTTTCCTCTTCACACTGTTTGTTTCCCAAGTACTGAACATAAGCCGTCATGGAGCACTTCTGCCTTTTCTGCATCATTTATTGCCGATTTCATGGTCACGTCTGGCAGCGTTGTTAGCCCAGCATGTGCCAAACCCTACAACTTTTTGTTGTGTTTTTCCATCATGCAGGCACAGCAGCCTCAGTCTCTAGGCAGTGGGACGGGGGCCCCAAATATGCTGAGGCTGGCAGGACAGAGACTTTCTGTCCAGGTTTTTGAGGAGGTGCTGGCCTGGGGCCCAGATTTTTGCCACGTTAGGAACAGCCAGTCTGGATGTCTGTCCAGACAGTGCTTTCGGAGGGCCCCGGCCTGACAGTTGGTGGATCCAGCTTTTTCCCAGACTCTGTTGTTCATTCGTACTTTTGTCCCCCTGTGCTGTCCTTTTCTCCCTGCTGGCAGAATACTTGATGTTCTCTCCCCAGTCCCTGCTCCAGAGCCCTTGTGCCTGGCTTCTTGCCCCATCTTCCTTCTCCCCCTCCACCTCTGGTCTTACCTGGTGCATGGTGAATTGCTGCTAGAAGCAGATTTCCTGGGGTGGCTGAACTGGATGGGGAGAGGGTTAAGAGGGTCCAAGCTGTGAGCACTGGTTCAGATCAATGGAAGTTAGTTCTGGGTTGGGCTGGTGGGAAGAGGGAGCTTCAGGGCATGTAAGCTGTGCTGGTTTTGGCTGGGGTAGAGTTAATTGTCCTCATAGTAGTTAGTATGGGGCTGTATTTTGGATTTGTGCTGAAAACAGTGTTGATAATACAGGGATATTCTGGTTATTGCTGAGCAGTGCTTGCACAGACCCAAGGGCTTTTCTGCTTCTCATCCCACCCCACCAGCAAGGAGCGTGGGGGGGTACAAGAAGTTGGGAGGGGATGCAGCCAGGACAGCTGACCCCAACTAACCCAAGGGATATTCCAGACCATAGGACATCATGCTCAGCATATAAAGGGGGGGGGAAGAAGGAAGGGGGGGGACGTTGGGAGTGATGGCGTTTGTCTTCCCAAGTCACCATTACAGGTGATGGAGCCCTGCTGTCCTGGAGATGGCTGAACACCTACCTGCCGATGGGAAGTCGTGAATTAATTCCTTGTTTTGCTTTGCTTGTGTACATGTCTTCTGCTTTACCTATTAAACTGTCTTTACCTCAACCCACGGGTCTTCTCACTTTTACTCTTCTGATTCTCTCCCCCATCCCACTGCGGGGGAGTCAGTGAGTGGCTATGTGGGGCTTAGTTGCTGGCTGGGGTTAAGCCATGGCAGAGCACAATTGTTTTCAGGCCCCAGGAGTGTTCTGTGCCTTAAGACGACAGGATGGGTCTCCTGTAAAGTCCTGATGGGGAAAGGGGGTGAACCAATTCCTCAACTGCCCAGGACTTGCTTTACCTCCTGAAATGTGTTCCTAGCTCCATTTGTTTGACATGTCTAAGAAAGAATTGCAAGCAGGCAAGAGAATATGCATCCCTCGTGAGACCTGTATCTTGGAGTGCTGTTCCATTGATTGGCCCTTGCCTGTCCCAAATTGTCCTTGCCTTGACCATCCCTCTGGCTGTGCTTTTGCTGATGGAAGAAGGTCTGGGAGCACTGTGGTAACAGAGCAAGCAATGTCAGTTGGTGGTGAGGTTGGCCTCTGCCTTGTGTTGACACTGTCCTTCAGCAAAAGTATTGTTGCCCAGAGAGAGTGATTTGGGGCAGCAGAATATGTGATAGGTCCCTCAGAAGATCTGGGCATCAGTACTGGCATGTGGAGATGCTCATCTCTGAGAAGGGGGGTGCTGTCTGTGGAGACATGCTGGGGGTGTTGAGGAAGGGGGTGCAGCCCTTTTCCTACCAGTCCCAGGGAAAATGCTTTTGGGAAGGCTGACCTAGAAGATGTTTTCTTGCATCCTGATCTTCGTGTCTCTTCAAAGACCAGTCTCCTACAAGGGGCAGTGCTGGAGCTGAGTGGTAGGTGCCTGGGCCAAACAAGGTCTGAGACTCTTGACACTTCTCTTTTAGGGCATTCTCCTCAAACGCAGTGGCAAGTCTCTCAACAAGGAGTGGAAGAAGAAGTACGTGACGCTGTGTGACAACGGAGTCCTCACCTACCACCCCAGCCTGCATGTAAGTACTGTGCTGGGTTGGGTAGAGGAGTGGGGTGGGACAGAGCAGTGTCCTCCTTCATGCTGTGGCTCCTGCTGCAGGTCCTCTTGCAGATGCCACAGTCATAGAGAGTTGCTTGGGAAGTGTTTGGCAGCAAATGAAAGCCCCAGGCTCCTCCTGCAGCAGGGCCCTGTACAGGGCAGGCCTATTCAGCAGAGCTGTTTTTCACCAGGGTCTGGAGGAAACCTCTTCCCTCTCACGAAGGCTGTCTCTGCAGTGCCAGGCTGGGTGGGAAAAGCTGATAGGAACATGCTCCACACAGAATTATGCTAAGTAAATGCATCTTTCTTTTTGCTGTTTCCCTTGCTCAGTCCCTTAAAGCAGGGGTTGCTGCCTCCCTGCATCTGGGGTGAGAAGCAAGCGGAGAACTCCTTGCAGCCACAGCTGATGGTGCCATTTGGGTGTGGAATAATTTTCCTGGCTGCTAGGTATTGGGTAATGGAGATGAGGTGCCTGTGCAGAGCCTGCCGAGCTGAGCTGTCACTCGATGCATCTCTGATCCCCTTCACTGCTTGTCTCAGGCGCACAGCTGCCTCCCCATCCATCTCTGTCGCCTCCCCACTGTGGGGCTAATGACTTCTTCCCCATTCCCTCTTGAGCACAGTTTGCTGCTGAGACAGTGAGCCACGGACAGACACACCTGTGACGCTGAGGCCACAGCACCCTCTGCAGCGAGGACGTGCTGCAGCGGGACAGCCGGACAGCGGCTGGGGGGCACAGGGTGGAGCTTGGGCGCAGGGTGGTTTAGGGGGTGCTGCAGCAGAAGAGCAAGGTGTTGCAGCTCCTGCACTTCCTGAATGCTCCTGGACCCTCGTTTGTCCCTGATCTCCTCGCCCCAAGCCTCAGAGTCTTTCTCCTCATTTCTAACCCTGCGTCTCTAACTCTAACTTGAGCTTGCAATGCTCAGTCATCCAGCTCCTGAACCATCGAGCCTTTTAACACTCCTATCCTTACACTGGAAAGCCAATCATTGCGTTTCCTTTCCTTAATTTGTGGGAGCTTTGAGAACAGTTATTTTTTTTCTTTTAGTCTTTGATCCCTGTACCACACTGTGGTTCTGCAGTTCCCTAACTTTGTAACCCCATTTTTTGGTCCTTATAGAACCAAACTGGGAGGGAATGGCTGCTGCTGCTGCCTGCTCTGCGTGTGTGCTCACACGCGTGTGTGGGTTTATCACATTTCCGTCGGAGACATCATAGGCCATTATTACAATCAGCTGTAGAGGCAGAGTAATTTCTGGGATGTTGTTTAACCGCTCTCAGATGATGCTGCTACACACTAGGTTTCTCTTCTTTTTACACCATTTCTTCCTCAGGGGGTGATCTAGATTGATGTCACTTGCTTTCCTTACTGCACTTCTTCGGCGTTTCATTTCATTACTACGTTGCCCCAAGCAAAAATCTGCTTTGCTTCCACCTGGTGCTACTGGTGATCCACAGCCCGTTGCTAAGAAAGGTACAAGATGGGCCTCTCCTCCCCTAGGTTTCACTGAAAGCTTTGAACCTTGCACCCAAGATAGGTGTTGTATTGCCCTAAATGTTTACCTAGAGCAAGGACTAATTACGTGTGGGCCACAGAACGCAGAGCTGCTTGCTGCCCAGCTCTGGCTTCTGCAAGGATGTGGGGGGGTCTGCATGCTCCCTCCATGGTACTGCCTCCCTGAAAATTGGGAAAAAGAGCCATGACACTACCATTGTGTTACATTTTCTACTGCAATGCTGACAAAGGCTTTGCTGAGCAGTGTGCTGTTCTGATTAGCAAAGGCCCCTCTGCCTTGCCTTGCCTTCCCTCTGGATATCTGGTTTATGACCTGCTTGGAGGGGACAGATGCAGGAAGGAAGCCTGGAGGAAGAGATGGTCCAGAAGAGGATGTCCCATTATGTCCTCTCCTCCCCATCTTCTAGAGTGAATCGGTAGGTGCTGCGGTGCGTTTGTCACCAGGTTTGTCTCCCATGGTTTGAAGCAAATTCCCACGTCCTTTCACAGGATGACACAAGCAGAGCATGTTAGGGTTGAACAGTCTGGGTCACTAATGAAACCTGTGTTCCTGAGAAAGGGCACGTGCTTCTTTGTCACTTCCATTTGTGGCAGCAGCTCTCAGGCCAGCAGGCACGTGGTGAGGTAAGCTGCTGGCAAGAACAAGTATGCAGATCCTCAGTCAAGGAGGCACTTGGTGTCCTGAAGTTCCTTCCTTGATACGTGAAGTCCCAGATACTCCCCTGCCTTGCTCAGGGTGAGCCTGTACTGCCACATGTCAGGGATGGCAGAATTCAGGGTGCAGCAGAGGGGTCCCTGAGGGCATGGCTGAGCACTGCGGGAAGAGGGTCTTTCCCAGCCCATGTCTGGATGTTCAAGCCCCAGGGCATTTTTGTGCTGCTCTTGTGTTCCCAGTGGCTTTTCCCTGCCATGATTCAGGGCAATTTGTGCCTAGACTTCTCTTCTCTTGCATCTCTGTTATGTTCTCTCCCTGTCCCTCTTGGGATGGGTGTAGGTACCTCAGGGATCAGCAGCCCTGCCTTTCTTCTTTTTCCTCTGGTAGACATATCTTCCCCAGATCTGCCTGTGACCCACTGGATGATTACTGCATGTCTCTGGCTGGGTCATACTTCTGATTTTGTCAACCAAAAGCTTCCCAGCAGGGCTATTCAGCTGCTTTTGGGTGTTTATCACTTGACCTGTTTCTGGGTCTGTATCTTGGCACCTCCAGCCCCACTTTGAAGTTTCCTCACTGGGAGTCAGGCTTAAACTGTGGGTTTGTAGTTACAGGTTGACAGAGAGTGCTCTGGTGAGCTGGGTCCAGCCCTGAAATCGAGTGTTCTGTGACTCCTTGATGGAAGCGTATCTGCCTTGACTACCAGCCTGGACCTATGCTTGGGTCCTAGGGAGCTGTATGTTACTGCTCTCAGGTGCCACCTCTGCCTCCTCTCTGGAACAGTCAGTGGTTTCAGAGACTTTGCACGCAGGATGCCTGGAGTTGAAGGAGTGGGCAGCAGCTCTTGCTGAAGGCAGGAGTGCCTGGGGGCCTGATCCCTGGATTCAGCACAGCTTTCCTTGTTGCATCTGTATTTTTCTTACCTTTCTGTGAGTGTGTTCAGTGACAGGAAAAGAACAAGTTCTATGAAGAGACCGGTGAGGTTTCCTATCACTTTCCCCAAAGCCTTGGAGAGTAAATGCTTCTGCTCGTGAGGAAGGCGTATGTGGTTCAGCCCAGCTTCGCTGGCCGGGCTGTGCTGTGCTGCGCAGAGCTAGAGAGAAAGCATCTCCCATTTTGCAGCCAGTGGAGCCATTCACACAATCACCTTCTGTTAATTCTATCTGCAACATCAATTAAATTGTTTGTAGAAACTAATTGAATGTGGCTTAATCACACATCTTAATAGCTTTCCACGCTTTGAACTCGTTGTTAATTCCAGTAATAAAATGAAATGAGAGAACTGGCTGGGTAATTAGCGAGGAGGCTTGGGAAGAAATTGCTGTTTTATAGCATGTAATAAAAGCAGTGCGCTGGTGACCGCTCTCTCCGGCAGGCAGCCGGCTACCGCAGCAATTGTGCTGAGTTAGGGAAAATCCTCCAGCCCCTCTGAGATTCCCTGCCCAGGGGTGCCACCAGGCTCCCACCCAACCAGGAACAGCTTGGAGTAATATTTGGTTGGGCTAGTTATCTAGGAATTGCCTGGGGCACCAAAGGGTGTGTGCGTGTCATTTGAGGTCAAGTCACCCAGAAGTTGGAACCACAGAAGGGTGTGCTGCCACGCCGCCCCATCTCTTGGGCTTGCTGTGAGGACTGGATGCCTGCAGAGGGGTCTGTGGAAAGGCAAGAGTTCAAACCAACATGTTGAGGTGCTGCTGAGAGGTTGCAACCCTCAGGTAGTCACCTGAGGCCACAGAGCATTGCCCATACAGCCCCCAGTCATCTGCTTCTTGGAGCCAAGGATTGGGAGAATAGTTGCTCTTAAACTGATGTTCATGTCTTTATCTTCTTGGATTTGGAAGCAGACAGGGACCAGCTCTGAGTTAATCTTTTTGGTGACCTCCTTGTGAACTGGAGCAAGCCCAAGCCTCCCTGCAGCAGCCGCAGTCTCGCCCTGGACGGTTGCTGCCACTCCTCTCCCAATTGCAGTGCACATCCCCAGCACAGAGAGCCGAGCCGGGGAGGATGCACCCATGTCGCAATTCCTACCAGAGCCTCTAGCTCAGCTTTCGGTCCCTGCACCCTTGAGGTCTGCCCAAGAGCAGGGCAGGGCAGTTCCCCTCTGTGCATCTCTCTGGAGATCACATTGGTCAGGTCTTCCCCTTCTGGGGGCATGAGCCCAAGGAAGAGCCAGCCGCATTGGAGAGGGTTAGGGGAGAGCTGCAGTGCCCAGTGAAGCAGGGAAGTGGTGGAAGACACAGAAAAGGACACAGCTCTTGGGAGGGTCTGGAGGTCTGCAGCCTTATTTTGGCTGAAAAATGAGATGCTATTAGGAGACAGGGCAGAATGACACTAAGAGTCTGCACATGGAATTTTTGGTTGTATATAGTCTACCAGAAGAAATGGTGGAAGCACCAAGTTTCGAATAATTTAAAGCTATGCAGGTGAATGTACAAGGGAGCTACCCTGAGTTGTGTTGTCTGGGGCTTGAATTATCCTAGCTGTGACCCAAGAGGGAATTTCCAGGTATCCCATTACTTACACTATACTATATTATATTATTAGCTGTTATAGCTGAGTGCTGTGATTAAAAAGACAACGGATGACAGGGAAGAAGAACTGCCTGCCACCTACGTGCTCTTTTGCTCCATCTAATCTCTGATCCCCAGCCAGGCTTCCACAAATGGGCTTGTCATGGCATCTGACTGCCCATGGCAACATCCCGACGTTATTCATATCAGAGCTGACTAGTTCTGGGCACTGAAAGTGAGACCTGGCACTTCTCCGGAGCCAGTTCTAAGGCACCAGCTAGTCATGGGAAGAAGGCAGGTTGGAGTCAAGGCTTTGCATCCATTTTGTCAGAAAATGGCTGGATGTGGACACTGGGGAAGTTGTAGGGTCTTTCACCTCTAGCCCACCTGACTTGAGACTTAAGTATAGTGCAAAAGAAACCAGCATGTGATGAGCTTCCTGGTCACCTCCAGGTTGCTGGCTGACTGTTAACCAGTTACCGCATGGATGAATGGATCCAGGGTTTAGTTTTGATTATGGGGATGAGAGGGGAGCTGAGAGTGGTGGGCCAGGGTAGGGCTGATCTTGAACCATTCTGCCTCTGCTGTAGGATTACATGCAGAATGTCCACGGGAAGGAGATCGATCTGCTGAGAACTACAGTGAAGGTACCGGGCAAGCGGCTACCCAGGGCAACAACGGCAGCAGCACCCAGCGCTAGCCCCAAAGCCAATGGGCTCGCGAAGGAGAGGAGCAGCACGCAGCTGACGGGAGGCACAGGTAAGAGTTGGTGTGGGTGCCACAGAGCTGACAGCCATCCTTCCCTCCAGTGCATCAGCAGTGCCTTGCTTTGCTGAGCTGGAAACAAAAGCTGTTCTGGAGTTTCTTGTTTTCACCACTCTTCAGGAGTGTCTTCGGTGGGTGTTGGCATTTCTGTGCGGGTCTCAGGTAATCTCCTGTGGGGATTTTATGCTGGTTAGTGTCCAGGACAGAAGAAAGAGTAGAAGGGCTTGAACTAGTGGCATGAGCTCCCCGAGAGGAAACAGTCAAGTCTGATAGCAGAGTTGCTGTGCGTGGGGGAAGCTGTTGCTCCCTAAACCAAAGGAAATTTCAACAAGGGATGTCTCTTGATCCCTGGCAAGTTCTCTTCTGTTTCTTTGCTTTTTTGTGGCCCCCTTTTTCCTCCTCACTTTCCCTTGGAGAAATAGTAATGTGAGGGGTTTGTTTTGTAATTATTATTCTTCTGTGTCCACATTCAAGAGGTGCAGCTGCCACAGAGAGTGGTGAGAGGAGATGTGGTTGGGAGGCTCTCTGGTTTCTCACAGAGTGCGTGCCACGCTGCTTACTGCTTCTCCTGCCGCAGGAGGTATCTTGCCCTGCCCAGGGGAGCTGTTGAACTTAGAGCTTTCCTGCCCAAGTTTCCCAGGGCATTGACATGCCTTTACTTTGTCCTCAGGGTTGGTATCCTTGGCCAGGATGGACAGTTTCCACACGCATTCTTCCCAGCCAACTGTTGGCAGCAGTCTAGTATAGCAGGGTATGGGTACCTCTCCACTCTCTGGGATAACAAGGGAGTGCTGATAATGCTGGTGATAACAAATCCTTCATAATCTGGTACTGCACGCTGTGCCACCAAGAGTGAACTTGGGTGTCCACATCTTCGTTTCTGTTCAGTCCTGCTCTGCACCCCAGTTGCATCCTGCAGTCAGGGTGTTGTCGGCACTGTGCTTCACAGCTTTCTGGAACTGAGGACTCATGAGATGGGGTGCAGCTGGAGTGAATGCCAAGAGCTGGCTGGGGTCCTCAGCATCACACACAGCATAAGGAATGCAGAATGCTAACATCGCTGTGTTCATGTGGTGCCAAGTGTGAAATAATAAGCCCTTCTGAACCCAAACTGCTGTTTCTGTAGAGTCAGAATTAGTCTGCAGACCAGATAAACTGCCAGTGAATGATTGCAATTACTGTCTTTTTTGACCAAGGATGTGCAACTCTGCCTGTTTTCTGCCATGGCTCTCCACTGTACACTGTCATTTCTTCACCACCACTGTACACCCTTAGCATGCCCAAGTGTGGTAACAATTCCTGCCTCCGTACACAGGCACTTCTCAGGCGTGCATTTCTAGGGTGCTTCGTTTGAGCTCCTACTTAGAGAAAGTTATCAGAGCTGTAGGAAGAATTGAAAGACAAACCACAGAAAAGTTTATGCTGATGTCAAACCAAATGCTCACGTAACCCTGTATCCTGTGTTCAACAGTCATCTCAGTCCTGTTGGGCTCACAAGAGCAGATTGAGATGTGACTTGATTACTGATTACTGCTGCTTGGAAAACCAGTGCCTAGAAGTGAGCGCTGTGCAAGGCCTTTCAGTCTGGTTGACAAAGCTTGAGGAGACGCAGTGTGTAGAGGCTGAAGTTAGAGCAATTTAACCTTGAGAGGAGATGTAGTTTCCTAGCAGGGAGGGTAATTAAATGTTGGAATAGTTTATCTGGAGAGCTGGTGGACTTAGCACTGCTTGAAACCTTTAAAATGAGATTAGTTATCTTTCTACAAGATATGCTTTAATCCAGCTCATGTGTGTGTCACTGCATGTATGTGTGCAGGGGATCAAACTGGATGGATACAATGGTCTTTTCTCATGTAGAAATCTATGAGTTTGAGATCCCCTGTTCACTGTCTTCTCCCTGGGCCCCTGAGCAGAACAGCGCTACTGTGCTACCCAGAGCACATGCATCAGCACGGGGCTCAGCATTAAGACAGTAACCTTAATCAGATTTCGCGTATCTTGGCTTTGGGTGGTTGTCTGCTTTGGTCAGAAAGGTTTTTTCTCCTAGTACACAAATGGTAAGATGTGTTCTGAGGAATTTTTTCAACTCACTCTGATGCCTCCAAGACTGATTGCAGTTGATGATGCAGTCGCCACGGTAAGTGCGCTGACATGACAAAAATCCTCTGAGGTGACTTGCTTATATCCCTGTGTAATGCAGAGTCCTGAATTTGGGGTCAGTAAAGAAACTGCCCTGCTTCAAATTAGCAGGGACTTCGCAGTTTTGCTGCCTTTGGAGCTAGGGATGGGACTGGGGTCCACTGGGCATCTCTCATCTAATACATGCTTTGGGCAGCTGGAGAGGGAGCACCTCAAAATTTGCAGTTCTCTGCCAGTGCACAAGTTCATCTTCAGAGGACATGAGCTTTGGAGACCTGAATGATTTGCTGTCTTACACCATGAGTGTCTGGGTAAAACCAAATGGCCTGTGTTTAGAGTTCAAAGCAGGTGGTCCATGGTTTCTTTGTGACCTGAGCTCCACCAAGGTAAGTGAGTGTGCTAATTAATGTCCAGTACATGCACAGTCCTTACCCAGGGGCAAGAAAAGTAGTAGATAAAGGGGAGGAGGAGAAGAAAAAGATAAAATATCTCACGCTTCCCTGTATGCGGATAAAATACACATATGCAGCACTCTGGTGATGATTCAAAATAACCTCCAAAGTAGGTACAGACAGTACAACTTGGAGCTAAATAAAGTAAGAATGGGGAAGCTTATATTTGTGAAACCCACAGGACTCTGAGCTCAAAGCATGATTGTACCCCTGTATTTAAACCATTAAAGAAGGCAACTTTACTGTAGTCAGAGTTGGTTTTATTTTAGCTTGCATGTGTTCCCATTGTAAACCCTGTTTTCAGAGGCACAGAACGTTGTCAGAATTTGCAGCTGCCTTATGTCCACTTAAGGCTTACTTTTTGTGGAACGTATATGCAAATGTGATGTTGTACATGCCCAGGGAGTTTGTGCAGTCTCCCTCCTCAGAGATAATCAAAAAACGTCCAGACACAGTCCAGGGCAGCTGGCTCTAGGTGGCCCTGCTTGAGCAGGGGGGTTGGACAGGACGACGTCCAGAGGTCCTTCCAACTTCAGCCATGCTGGGATTCTGTATTCATTTTGTCAATATTAAAAATTTCTCTCCAAGAGCTGTAAATCTTCAGAGATTTGATGCAAAGATTGCCTAGAAGCAGAAGTTTTGTCCTCAGTTAGAAACTTTTTGCTTCCTAATCCCTTGGAAAATATATTGGGATTTGATCAAAGTTTTGGAAGTTGGTTACTGAAAGCTCTGGAGCACCTAATCTCCTCCTGGGCTGTCAAGAGCTCCTGGCAGAATGGTCTCTGCTTTTCTGTGATATTTTTTCTTCACTTTCCAACTGTAATGTCCTCCTAACTTTCATCCTTGTATGAAATTTTACTGGTAAAGAGACTATCCAGAGACAGAAGAGTAGCTGAGGTCAAGCACAGGTTCTGTTAACAGGTTTAGAGCTAACTAAATGCAAATAACCAGCATTAGTTCATTTACGGCTGAGCCCTAAATCAAGCCCTTCAACATCAGGAAATCCTAAAGCTCAGGCAACTGGCCCGTGTCACCTCTGCCAGCTTGCACTCCTTGCCTGCTGTGCTAGTTGCAGTCAGTGCTGTGCGCAGAGTTAGGCCTGACCAAGCAGACCAGCCTGGGAAGCAAAGTCCCACGCCTGGACCTTTGTGGGCTCGAGCGGCATGTTCTTCATCCATGTCTCGACACAGGGTTTGCTGTTTGTGCATCGTGCTCACTGTCTCCCCGGTTATGTCCTGGAAGACCAAGCAGATGCCTGGGAAGTGCCAGCCAAAGGGAGCTTGTCCAAGAACATTTTGGATATGCCTTCCAGAAGCAGCGCTCATATACCCAGACATTTCCAGGGCACTTTCTTGCCACCTTCTTGTCCCCTAGGTTTTCTTTGGAGACTGGTTGCAGACTACCATTGAACCACTTGATCCTCTGACATGATGGTTCAGTCATGCTGAGCCATTGGGTGTTCCTGGCATGGTTCTGGCTTATGGCAAGGACTCTCATGGACAACACCCAAGGAAGCAGTGCAGGCTGGCACACAGATTTGGGCACAGGTTTTGGGGAGAGAGAGTTACCGTGTGTAGGCAAAAGCTTAGTTGTGCCACGGGGTCTCAGGCTGGAGGGATGGTGGTGTTAGCCTGCACATCTCCAGAGGGACCTCTCTCGGGGCTGGGCGGGTGGCCAGGCTGAGCTTTCCATGGTGGAACAGCACCTCAGCTGCTTTGTGCATACCCATGGCTGGCACAGGTCGGGGTCCGGTGTGCACCAGGCAAGCCAGGAGAGGGGTTCACCCCAGTGCACACTGCTGTCTTGCTCAGTACCCCACACTGGCACAGGTTTTTAAGCAAGGGCCCTGATGGCTCTTGTGTTCTACTATAAAAAGAATCCCTTTAGTGGCACAGGTGTGGTCAGGGACAGCAATGAAATCATTTGTCTGTTTGAGCCATCCCTCCTTTGCCTAGGGCGGGAGGGTGTTGCATGTATGTGCTCCAGCTTCCAAAGTCATGATCACAAGACTTCTTTGGGCCAACCATCCTATGTCAGGAAAATGAGTGGCCTTATCCTGGGAAACAGGCAGGGAGGAAAGGGATGTAACACTGGATTCCTGGAAAGCTGCAAGCGGGGGAGGGGGGGGGACTCGCCTTTGTGAGCATGCCTGAACAAAACATCTCGTCACTTAGATGAGAATATATTGTGACTGATGTGCGTGAAGGCTAAGAATATGTTAAAGGTATAAGCGATACATGGATATAGATATAAAGAGAGTAAACGCTTCTTACAATTTGTAAAGTGTTACTCAATATAAAAACAGGCCAAGAAATGCTTTGAGTATCAAAGGCACCAATGCCTCACTAAGCCATCGGTACTGCGTTGGCATGAAATGGGAGCACAGGCAGGCCTTGGCAGAAG